GGGGGAAGGGCTGTGCTTGGGGTGGGGGAGGGTTCAAGGTATTTCTCCTACACTGAATCACTAGAATGAATACAACTCTCAATATATGTGTAAACAACTTTATGACTCTTTTGAGTGTCAAACTTTTGTAGAAGCATTGTAGGTGGCCCAGCGGGCTATTAGAGGATGCAATCTATAATGAATGGCTTGATAGGGCAGCAGAGCGGTATAGGAACATGACGTCCAACATTAGAACGGGGCGCGTAGCATGGAGACCCACGAAGATATCATGAAAGCTTGGAAAAAGGTAAAAGTTTATGAAATTTCACAACTATTTTGTTTATGTGTAGCATGAAGTTTTTGTTATTTTGGTTGTTGTTTATGTGTTTCATGTGTTGCATATTTTAAATTCAACAATGGAGAAGAAAAATCAGAGATATCACCCAAAAACACAGCGATGCACCAGCTGCGATTAAAGAAAATCCGTAGCTCCGATTGATGTGAAAATTGAACAGATTGAAGCCCTAAGTGTTGGGAACAACCTCTGAAAATTTCAGCTCAATCCAACGGTCGGATCTACGGCGATGATCGGATTTGTGCGGCTGGTCTGAAAATTCTGCACCAGCCCTTCTCACTCTCTCTCTTCTGTTTTTTTTCTTCTTGCTCTCTGTTTTTCGTAAGTCTCTTCCAACCTACTCCCAGTCCTTTACTTATCCTTTTTGTTAGTCAACAAAGGAAATAAATCATTGGGCCCTCCACCAAAGAAAATAAATCATGCTTGAAAACAAAATAATTCTACAAAAGTAACCTCATGAGCATCATTTGTACATACTGTTTTAGCATATAGGACTGAATTAGTTGGGGTAATAACTTTCTTTAGCATCATTTGTACATGACTCTAATTATTAAAATTAAAACTTGTTTATGAATTGATTTTAGAGTATTCACTAGACATGTTTTAAATTAACTTGTATTTCTTGATTTGCATATAGGATTGGAGTGGTGATGAGCAAAAAAAAAATCTGAACAAGGAAAGAAGAATAGGCGAAAAGGCAGCCTAGATAAATGTGCAACAGGGACGTATACTGGTGGTCCTTTATCATTTCGAGAAAATCTCACCAAAGTTGTGAGCATTAGTATTTATTAAGACAAATGTTGTTTGGTTATTAATAACATATATGTGAACTTCAGTTATTTATCAAAAGCTAATTTAATGCAGATTAAGACAGGAGGTGAGAATCGGAGACAAAGACAAAGAAGCATGATGAAGTAACGTTCATTGATGAGAAATCACGAGAAGTAGCGGTCAGTGAAATTTCATCGCACATACATCCTTATATATGTGTGTGTATATATACATGTCAAATTTTATTATCTAAAGTCTAAGCTCTGTTCTTTTTATTAATTGGTAGTAAATGTCACCAAGTGTTTGATATTTCTTTCTAGCTGTGCTTTTTTAAAATTATAAATTTACTATCTATCTTATAGCTTTGATTTTATAAATTTCTAGATTTGAACCGGTAATCATGGTAACATTAACATAACCCTAGTATTTTGTATTTTAGATTTATAGCTCAATCTTTATGAATGATTTGAAATGTTTTATATGTAGAAATATTATTTCTCTATGTAATTTGTATGTTGGTTCTAATTGATTTTATTCACATTTTGTAATATTATGTAGAGGCGACATATGATGCGATGGAGCTAGTCACACAATGGGATAATGTTCAAGCATTCAAGGAGGAGTTGTACTATGCCTCAGTTGATGGACATGATGCTAAAAAACGTGTCTTTGGTGTAGGAAAGATGTCCAAGACCATGCGTCATATGCTGCCTCTCAACCGTCTATCGTAGAATCTCTCAACGGAGATATTATCCAGATGCTTCGTGAACCTATTGCCTAAACAATCATGGAAGAGATGCATAGATTGTTTGGAGATCGCTTGCCCCGTAGAGAGGACGGAGGAGATGGTGCTGGAAGTGCACCTCAATGTTAGTGTAATGGTTTAATTTTTTAAATAGAAAACAATAGACATTTTTTTTATGTGACAGGTACATTAACTCTTATTTTAGAATATGAAAAATACTGAATTGAAACTCTTATCTTGTGGATTACATATGCGTTATATTATGTTTAATTTGAGGATACTCCTTACATTTATTTGATGGTTAATCTTGCGCAAACCTGAGGGTGAACGTAGTTTGATCATGTGTTGGTTGTTTTTAACTTATGCAACGGAATAGTTTGTTGCAATTGAACGTGAGTATTTTTTTGCAGCAAATATTGCAATGGAATATTGGTTGCATTTTCCCGTTGCAATATTCTGCAACGAAAAAGGCATTGCAAAGTTCGGTTGCATCATCTTGCAACAGAATTTCTGTTGCAGCTCTTAGCAATGACATTTCGGTTGCAATTTGGCGTTGCAATAATATGCAACTAAAAAGTCGTTGCAAAATTCCGTTGCATTACGTTGCAACAAGAATTCCGTAGCAGGAGTTAGCAATGTCATTTCCATTGCAAATTCCCGTTGCAAATACTTGCAACGACAATTTCTGTTGCAATTTTCCGATGCAATGCTAATGCAACGGAATATCCGTTGCAAAAAGGAATCTGCAACAATGGTTTTTGCAACGGCAAATTTGCAACAAAATTTCCATTGCAATTGTCCATTAGCAACGNAAGTTCGGTTGCATCATCTTGCAACAGAATTTCTGTTGCAGCTCTTAGCAATGACATTTCGGTTGCAATTTGGCGTTGCAATAATATGCAACTAAAAAGTCGTTGCAAAATTCCGTTGCATTACGTTGCAACAAGAATTCCGTAGCAGGAGTTAGCAATGTCATTTCCATTGCAAATTCCCGTTGCAAATACTTGCAACGACAATTTCTGTTGCAATTTTCCGATGCAATGCTAATGCAACGGAATATCCGTTGCAAAAAGGAATCTGCAACAATGGTTTTTGCAACGGCAAATTTGCAACAAAATTTCCATTGCAATTGTCCATTAGCAACGGAATACGATGAATATTGCAACGGATTTGGCCGTTGCAATTCAGACCATTTCTTGTAGTGATATATATATATATATATATATATATATATATATATATATATATATATATATATATATATATATATATATATATATATAAAGATTTTATTGAACATAAAAGGAGAGTACAACCAAGTGGGGGAGGTCCAAAACCCCAAACAAGAGGACCCAAACAAAGCAAATCCAGACAACTAATTGATGAAATAAACAAAACAAGAAAACTACAACCAGCAAAGTAACTCCAGATGCCTGTGGTATCAACTTAGCATATGCTAGCCACGTGATATTGGGCATCAAATTTTGTTGTCTTGTTATTGGAAACCCTGCAGCTTAATCTTCCGTTTGTGATTTCTGGCGTGATAAACTCAAAATAACTTGCTCTATATCCTCTAAATCAAGAACTGATCCTATAGTGCAGCAAGAGCTTGATTCATATATATAGCTTAAAAACTTTCAATCACCAATCAGCAACCAAACCCCTGCTGATGAAGTTCAAAACCCAAAAACTACAACAAAGATAATATAATAAACAAAAAAAACTGATGTCCAGGTCCTCAAAATTCGTATTCCATCTCATTCGAAGGACCAAAACAGCATCATCGAAGGACTAAAATTGAAAACGATCACTGCCCATGTGCTAAGTGCGGGAAATTCAGTGTTTTGCCGCACTTAAAATCGTTGTTTGCCGCACTTGTAAATGTGGAAAAAACTGTTTACTGCACATGTTCTAAGTGCGGCTACGTAAATGTGGGGAATTTTTTGCCACACTTTAGATAAGTGCGGCCAATGAAACACGTTAGTCACACTTATAAGTGTGGCTAGTATTTTATTTTGTGACACTTATATGTGTTCTTAATGCACCACACATGCAAGTGTAGAGAATATCTCTTATTTAAAAGTAACAAATAAATGTGGCAAACAATGACACCTTACGATAAGATGACATGCTTCGGTCAGATGACGGAAAGTTCACTACACTACACTACAAAACTCACCAATGCACAAAGCAAAGCTCACCACTTTCAACCCCAAAACTCACTTTTTTTAAAATTTTAAAATTAAAAAATTAATTAAAATTAAAATAACAACACCGGTCAACCCCCGGTCAACGGCGGAGCCAACCGAAGTCCGGGTGCGGCTGCGGCTGCCTGAGTCCGGTGACGGTGACGGCGGCCAGAGTCCGGTGACGTTGTCGGCGGCCGGCGGCGGCTGCCGGAGTCCAGCAACGGCGGCCGCGGCGGCAGGCGGTGGTCAATGCTGACGGTCAACAGTCCAATCCTGTCAACACCCCTTTTCTTTGATTTTATTTAAAAAAAATTCAAAGTATTGAAAAAATATGGTGAGTTTTGACTAACAGTTTGGTGAGCTTTGTAGTTGAATTTGGTGAGCTTTGCAGTAGCTAGTGGTGAGCTTTGTGTCATCTGACCGAAGCATGTCATCTCAGGGTAAGGTGTCATCTAATTGGTGAGCTTTGTGTGTGTGTGTGTGTATATATATACATATATATATATATATATGTATATGTATATCTATATATGTATATATATATATAGATATATATATATATATATATATGTATATCTATATATGTATATATATATATGTATGTATGTATGTATGTATGTATCTATATATATATGTATCTATATATATATATATATATATATATATATATATATATATATATATAAATTATTTTTATACTATCCACAACCTATTTTATTTTATTACTTTTCAAAAAATGATTATATAAATTTAATCACATGTGCATATTTATTAACAAAGGAAATAGAATTAAATTGGTTTAATTGAAGGGTGACAATTGACATTATGACACATATACATTCTCTAATGATATATCATTATGTAAAAATATTTTTATTAGTACTTAATTCAATGACCATTAATTTTGTAGAATTTGTTTGTTTTTAAATTAAGATATCAATATATATTCCACCAGTTTAAAATATATTTTGTCACTATTAGAAAACTAAAACAACTAAAATTATATTTTTAGAATCTCAAAAATTTAGAATATATGAGCCCGTGCGAAGAACGGGGTTTACACTAGTGAGATGTATTGGAATGCAATTATTCTTTCTTATGTGCATTCTTTATTTTACAAAATTCAATAATATATAATGAGTATTTATTTTTTTAAAATCCGTAAAATATAAACGAATGAAATTTGATTTAAAATTACATACCCTCCATCTTTTTACATTTACATTCTCTGAGCTCTGATTATAAATGGAACATATATTTTATCGTAAACTAATAGAAAAATTATTATATTAAACGTGTCTTACAAAATACAATTTTGGTAGTATTATGGTAGAATCATTGATATTGTATTTTTATTCAAATAAATGAAGTTGTTAAACGATTGAAAGTTAAATTATGGAATATTACTCCTTACCTACAAAAATTTTAAACGAGAAGGTTTATGATTTTAAAAATCAATCTGAGAGAAAATTTTGAATGTTCATTCAAATACTACTCCGTAATTTTTTTAATTTATTTTAATGAGAGTATGAGCTCTGAATACTAAAAAGTATAACCATGACTAAAGAGACGAGACCCCATGACTCCCAATTGCTGGATCCGCCTCTAGAGGCCCCCTAGTAAAGGACACTTATTCTAACAATTGGTATCAGGGACTAACTCTCTACAAGACTTAACCGGTTGAGAAAACAATCTATATTTTTGTTGAGAGTGTTGTATGCAGGATTAAGCAAAGGAAACTCTAACAACTCTAACGTTAGACTTCCACTCTTCGATGGAACAAACAACACCTATTGGAAGGAATGGATGAGGATTTACATTCGGTCAATCAACTTCCAACTGTGGTTAAGACGGAGGAAGAATATGATGCTGAAGACATCAAGAAGGTAGAAGCTTTTGAAAAAGCTAAACATGTGGTTTTTTGAGCAATTAACCCGGATGACTACCAGAAAATTTCTTCTTGCTCCACTCTAAAAGAAATGTGGGATAAGCTTGAAGTGACATACGAAGGTACGCCTCAAGTCCGAGAAGCTAAAATTGATTTTCTAACCCATGAATATGAGTTGTTTAAAATGGAGATTGAGAGCGCTGATCAAATGTTCGACCAGTTTTCAGAGATCATCAACGATCTCCATGCCCTTGGGAAAACATACTCGAACAAAGATCTTGATTGAAAAATCCTTCGAATCGTAACACCGGAATGGCGTTCAGAAGATCTTGATCGAAAAATCCTTCGGAGCTTAACACCGAAGCTTAACACATAGCTACCGTTTGTTTTGCTAAACATAGGAATTTTTCGTATGATTATGATATCTAATGCATCGAACATCCATATAAATTGAATCTCAATTCATAATCAAATCAGTTGATTTCATGCACATAATGTTCAATTCTAGCATTCATCTTTCATGATAATCATAATACTCAATTCAGGTCATTTCATGACATATTCAATATTCATATCGTCAATAGTATTCTTAAATTATTCTTAATCTAATGCAAAATCATTTTGATAAAAAAGCTATTATACTATTATTAGTCTAAGACAATATTTCTAACCGAGATCTTAATAATTAGTTTAAGGCAGAACACAAGAATCGATGATCCATCCTACGAGTCTTATGGATCACGCTCCAACCGAACAGTGGACTTATTTACTGTCGGGTGGGTGATATCCCCAAACAAGTAAATACTCGAGTTTGATTTGTGGATCATGTACATATAATCAACATCAGTTAACTATATTAGTCATATGGGTATATCTTAGAGTTTCTCTAGATATCCTTAATAAGACATATCCTTTTCATAATCATTAATACATTTATTTTTAATCATGGTTCAATTATGCATAATTATCATTTTAATCAGAATATTCATAAAATTTTGATCATAAACAAATTAATAATAATCATCATGATATTCGATAACAAATAGCGGTCTAGCATCGAGTGTTAACACCCTAGCTTACCGTCATGAATCAAACAAGGTTCTTGGATTGTTAAAACATCATTTTATTTCCATAAATCATTTTCGTGTTGATCATAATTGAATAGTATCCAAAATAGGATCTAATATTTCAAAAATAAGGTTTATGGAAAGTTTCCAGATCAAATGGTGCCCCGTACGGTACCTCGGTACCGGCTCAGGGTACAACGCTACCGTCTAGACAGTATGGGGTACTGTCTGGCATCAGGTACCGCCAGAGGAGGGCGTTTTCCACATAGGAGACGGTACGGCTACCGTGCCGGTCGTACCAAGGTACCGTCCGGACAGTAGCTTACTACCACTATGTGCGTAGTTTTGAACAGTGTCATCTTCAACCTCGGGCCAATTTTCTAAAACTTCATTTTTAATCATAAAACTTCGATTAAACTATATAGAAATATTCTCCAAAGTTCACAGATCATTTAGCATCATTAGTTTTTAGTTTTAACAACAATTTCAAGGTTTATTATTCTTGGTTTTTCAAGCATGTCAAACACAAAACTCTACCAAACGACCGTTTATGAACATAGAAACCATCTATACGAACATTCTAGTCACTAGATATATCTAAGGGCTTAACTTGGACTTAAACGGAGGTTTTAGAAATTTTCCGATGAAACTTTAGGCAACGATTATGGCTTAATTTGGCAATCTCTTACAAATTGACAGCACCACTGCACTCCTCTCTCAACCAAAAACAGAATAGAAGAAAGAATGGAGAGAATTGGTGTAGATATGAAGAAGTGAAGAGTTCCTTATATAATGGTTCTGATGAGAATGAAGCTAGAGACGTCTCCTTCAGAAATCATGTGATCGCCATAGTGCGCAGGATGACCGATTCGTAGAATTTTACACGTCATTCCCTGATTGGGACTAATTTGGTCCCAGTTGGGGTACACTTTTTGCTCCAACTTTCTTCGAATTAAATTTCGTTTGCACCGTTGCGATCGAACAACCAAATTCAATTCAACGACATAAATTATATATTTATTTGGAATACTTTTTCCGGTATCATATTTTTGGATGTTGACTTTGACAGGGTCAAAATTGATTTAGTTGACCTTTATTCAAAAAGGTTCTTATATTTAATTCATATTATTTATTCTCATGACTTATTTGAATATATCATTTCAAAGTTTACATCATGAATCAAATTCTTTATTTATTTTTTATTTGGGTCCGTACTCTAGTTCCCAATCAAGATCACACAAATTTGGGTCTGTACTTTAGTTCGAATTAAATTCCGTTTGCATTGTTGCGACCGGACAATCAAATTCTATTCAGCGACATAAATTATATATTTATTTGGAATACTTTTTCTAGTATCATGTTTTTGGATGTTTGACTTTGACAGGGTCAAAATTGATTTAGTTGACCTTTATTCAAAAAAGGTTCTTATATTTAATTCATATTATTTACTCTAATGACTTACTTGTATTTGAATATATCATTTCAAAGATTACATCATGACTCAAATTCTTTATTTATTTTTAATTTGTGTCTGTACTCTAGTTCCCAATCAAGATCACACATATAGTCAACATATTGGATTTATCTCTATAAGATTTAACCAGATTGTGATATTGGATATCAAAACACATTTCATTTTGGCCCAAAGCCCAATAATAATTCATTTTATTCAAAACAATTTGTTTCATCAAATAATAATTCAATAATAATTTTAGGGTGTGTTTTAGGGCGTTACATTAAGTGTCCAACAAGGATAATGTTGAAGGAGCAAGAAAGGGTTCTCGAGGTAGCAAAGACCATTAATAGTCTGACTAAAAATATGTGCCAATAGGAATCTAAGAGTTATAATATTTGAGGATACTATTAAGTGTTCAACGAGAATGATGTACAAGTAATTAGAGCTTGAAGACAGTGAACAATGCTCTACATAACTAATTCGAAAAAGCATGAAATGCATTGTGATTATTAACCAATGATAAAGAATTTATTGAAAATATAAAAGATGCTTCTTAGTTAGGACCTGGGAAACAACTATTTCAGAAAATTTAGTATTAAAAAAACTATGTCGAGTACAAAAAATTCCTAAAATATTATATATATTCTACTTCGATGTTATTGAATATAATATTAAAAATCATGTGAGAAATATTTTTTTATTGATTCCAAATAATGCATTGAAATAAATTTAGAACTAACAAACAATTCGTTTAAAATACCACCCTCCAAACCCTAGTTTTACCTTGGGGTAATATTAGATCATAATATCAGAGGAATTTAGTGGCGTCTGGAAAGAAAAGAAAGAAAGAAATAGACTGCATCTGAATCAGAAGCGGCTAAAGGACACTGTACAGAAAGATCGCCGGCCGACCGATCCATTAGGATGTGCTCCGTTTCTTTCCTCGGACTTAACCGATTGGGCTTAGGGCTGCTTTTCCAGTCGGAAAGTTGGGCAGTGAGATGGGGACGGAATCGCTACTGCCATACAAACTTGATGCGGCAGATGAAACCGAGGAAGAGCTTGTGGGCGCAGATTATTCGTCCAGCCAATCCCAAGATCCATGTCAAACCAAAGCTAGACAACTGGGTTAAAGATCAGAAGAAAAAGGCTCCGGCCGGCGACCTCAAGAGGATCCTGCTCAGACTTCGTCAGGACGGGCGCTTCCATCAAGCTCTACAGGTAGCTCAGCTTCTGCCCAATTTCAGATTCAATCTCCATACTGCTTTATGTTTTAACTAGTGCAGTCAGTACCCACAGTCAATGTGCAAAATTTCATCTATTTTTTTTATCAAAATGATCAATGAATATGCACACGTAAACAAAAGTTATTGAAAACAGGAAATAGTTTTGGGGGCAAATAGTTTGGGAACAGCATCTTAAACAATGAGTTGACAACACATCTTAAGTAATGTGATTTGGGCTTTTTGAATAGCTAAGTAGAGAAATCCTAATTTATCTCAGCAAAATCATCTGTCTTTGTCTTCTTCCCATCGTAAAAGCAACTCAATCAAAATCTAGAAGTTGCTTGCACATAATTCAGCACACATTTCACTCAGTCGGGCTGGAGTAGCGATGTAAAATTCAGTTATTTCTCAGAGTATTGGAATGCAATATGCAAAACAAGATTCTAAGAGTAATATTATAATTGACCAAATCTGAAAGTATTAATTTGAATTTTTCCTTATAATTATTATGGAGTATAAACAAAGAACACGAAGCTTGTAAACACAATAATTAAGATACAATACTAAAAAATAATAATTGACTTAAAAGATAGGAGGATTTCATATCTTAATAATCACATTATTTTCATATTTTGGGATACACTCTTAGCGTCGACATAAGATTATTTTTAGATTTAGCGATTTCTAGTTCAAAAAATTGCAACATATAATTTACTCATGTTGAAACTGGTTTTAAAACCAACATGCAAGAGTGACTGTCATTTACTTTTGTTTATCACCGTCGCATAAGATAATGTAACTATGAATTGTCTTTCGTAGAATTTAAACAATAATCTTATGTTTGAAGGGATCATGGAAATTCTTGAACAACAATCATGTGCTCACATGGTAGCGTGGGGGCAAGAAGTTTATTTTTGTGTTTGAGGGTCCGGGGAAAGCGCTCTCGGATTTTTTTATAAATACTGTACCATGAAAAAAACTTAATAAATTTCATCTCATAAAACACTCAAATACTAAATTTCATCTCATAAAACATTCCGTATAATTTCACTTACTTTTATATTATATTCTTGTAATTTAAAAATTTCACCTTAAAGTTCTATGCTTCTAACTTTAAATATTTCTGTTTTTTTTGCACCGTAAAACACACCCCTTATTACTCTCCCAATCTTTCAACAAAATATTACAACTCCAACAACATAAACTTAGTATGCTAACCAATTACACAAATATCCTATATACAGTATTCCATTTGTCCAAGTTGAAACTTTTGTTTTGACTTGGCACAACTTTTAATGTATTGTGAAAGAAGTGTTGACTTTCTTCTACAAAATCAAATTGGAAAACAAAATGATATCACTATTGAATCTCATTCCATTCAATAAATCAAAATTGAAGAGAAGATCAAGGAAATATGTTTAGTTCTCGGCGAAGTGTAAAAATTAGATCTAAGAAATGTATCAAACTAGCATGAGAGGAGACGAGCTTGACACGTTGACAGCGTTCCTCTCTTCTTTTTTCTTCTTTTCCTGTTTTTCAGACCCTACCCCCTTATTCTCCTCCATCACCCCCTTCTTCATCTTCAACATCATTAAAATTTAAATAAAAAATCAAATTTAAGTTCCAGATCTAAGAAATTGAACAAATTAAAAAACAATTTTAGTTCTCAAAACTAGAAAATTGAAGATATTAAAAACAAAATCTAGGTTTCAAATCTATGAAATGGAAGAGATTAAAAATCAAATTGAAGAACGAAAAAGAGGAGCGGGGGTCTTGAACCCCGCACTATAATCTTATTTGTTAGTTTAGTGATTAAGGCATTACAATCATTAGTCTTCACCATTTCCGATGGAGCCAAAACTTCACCATTTTTTAGCTTTGGGGTGTGATGGAATAAATCAAAATGGATCTCTAAACTGTCTGCGCTTCTTTAATTAATGAAGTAGCAGTTAGTCAAGCAATACAACTTTCGACGTTGAGCCGAGGGTCTCTTTGGAAACAGCCTCTCTACTTTCGAGTAGGGGTAAGGTTTGCGTACACACACCCTCCCCAGACCCTACTTTTGTGGGATTCAACTAGGTTGTTGTTGTTGTTGTAATCATTAGTCTTCAATCTTGTTGTGGTAATTGGACTCCCAAGATAATTGGAGATAAAAATGTGTCACTCTTATTTTGTTAATAAAGACAATGTTTTACTCCTATGTTGTATTTCTTTTTGATGTGGTTGTACCTGAGACTAGATGTTTTTAGCTTTTGCATCTGGGATTTTTTGTGAACTTTTTCTTGCTTATCTTTGCACCTAGATCTTCATTGTCACATGTCTTCTCACGCTCCCCTCCACACCTTTATCTTCTTTATCACAATCTTCTTTGCATAAATCATTGTCGTCTCTCTCCATCTCTTAAAATATCAGTCTATGAAGTTTCTATACCTATGTACAATTGTGTAATGAAAATGCTGGAAGTGAGTTCTCTTTCATTCAGTTTTTTTTCATGTATAGACACAGCGAATTATTACAAAATATTAGTTTATAAATGCTAAGTTACACCCTACAGAAAATGGTAAGTTACGATACAAACTTATTTTACCAAGACAAAGTAGAAAAGTCATATTAATTAATTTTCTTATTTATTTGATATAAATATTTGATCAACTTAAAAAATAGTCAAGGCATCTTTTGTTTTATAGATTTTTTATGTAGAGATTAAAAAATAATGTTTATTTTACATTAATATTAAAATAAATAGAATAGACACTACATCGTCAAGCATATAAGTTCACAAATCAAGTCCTAACATATGCTCCTACGGCAATTTGAATAATATATGGTTCAAGAATCGACTTCTAACAAGTTTAACGATCACACTTCTTAACAAAAAATCAATTGACTGATTATATCTGAAGTAAAAATTAATTTATTAATTGATCATAACCGTAGACATATGAAGCATCACTCACCTCGATTGATCATAGAACAAAAAATACGAATCGAGGAAACAGTGGCTTGGATGGAGGCGACGCCCTCGCTCGAATCCTCCTTCTGCCCGATTGGTGCTCTCCCTCTCTCGCTCGTTCTCTGGTTCGCGCAAAAAAGAAGACATACGATGATGATGATCGATGATCGGAGAAGAGAGACAGCTGCACATGCATGAATACACATCTATTCACAGGTTTAGGTTTAAATTCAAGTTCTAATACAAATGGGATTGATTCGAGGCTTAAGTATCTGGTCCTTTACTCGCATCTCGGGCCTAACATCTCCGTTTCACGATACGTTTGCGTTGTCGGGTCTGTTTTCTCTTTAATGAGCTCTACAAAATAGTACAGATCTCAAAAAGTAAAAATCCAAATTCCCAATTTAGTTATATTCAAGCCCACTCAGTAATTACTTAATTATATTAATTAATAAATCATAATAAGCCGGGTTTTGGGGCGTTACAGACTTACACTTTACCCTGCTACTCCACTTCTAGTGAGTCAACCTTGTGCTTGATTACGTTGAATTAGTTTAGTTGACATGACATTTGAAATAATGAGTTGGCAACATATTTAAAGTAATGAAATGAGTGGGGATATCATATGGCCTTTTTGAATAACCTTATAAGAGAATCCCAATTTAAATAGGTGGAATAAGCCCAAATATTATTCTAAACATATAAAATAATGAGTTGTAAAAACATTTATATTAATAAAATTAAATTGGACATCATTTGATTTTTTTGAATAACTTAACAAGGATACCCCAATTAAATCCCTAGTGGAATAAGCCCGAAGATTACTAAATAAAGTCCAAATGGCGTCTAGTTTAATTTCTTTACTTTAGATGTGATGTCAACTCATTATTTCAGATGTCATGTCAACCAAAATAAGTCTACATAATTAAGCACGCATTTGACTTAGCAGGACTGGAGTAGCAATGTAAACTCCAGTGATTTCTTTGAGTATTGGTGTAAAAAAAAGAATCTTGGAGCAATATTGTAAAATTGGCCAAACCTAGAAGTATTGGTGTGACTTTGTCAAATTTTTTTATTGGGACACCTTTAGTTTTTGGATTAATTTATGTGTTCCAATTAAATTAATTTGAGGAGTGAGGGCCCCCATTGTTACCACTCTCCCTCCGCCACAATTACCAGTTTTGGAACCCGGGTTATCTTCCTCGGAGTCCTTGGGTGTGGCCATCCAGCCCACTTGAGGCAGGATGAAAGCTCTAGTTTGTTGTGTTTAAAGTCGTCTTTACTTCAGAATCAGACTACGATTTCAAATCTGAATTGGGTATTTTGGATTCTTTGGTTTCAAAGCTTTTGAGTGACTCTCCTGAGCAGGGAATTCAGGGCGATGAAATATTATCATTATTTTAAATTTTGTTCCAATGTAACAACACTAATGTTTTTTATTGCATGTTAACCTTGGGTCCTTGATATTCAGGTTTGAATCTGGTGTCTATTAAATTTGAATTTCTGGTACAGTTATCACTTAGAAGAAGTAGATGGAATGTTATTGAATGTATATCATAGTGCCCGATTCAATGGAAGGATATAAGATGCATTCTGATAGTGTTTTGCTTTTGATGCCTGTTGCAGGTATATGAGTGGATGAGAAGGAAAGGTATTTATAAATTCTCATCTAGTGACTATGCTGTCCAGTTCAACTTGATATGTAAGGTTCGAGGAGGTTTTGCTGCGGATCGCTATGTCAGGAAGTTGCCAAAACAAACTAGAAATGACAAATATGGAGAACTCCTTCATTGTTATGTGAATGAACACATAGAAGACATATTTAGTAGACCTTTAGGGCATCTTCAGAAGATGAAAAAGTTGGGTTTTGCATTGTCGCCTCGCCCCTTCAATGAAATCATGCACATTCAAGGCCCCGAACCTAAGAAGGTCCTGAAGGTGTTAGCCAAGCTGAGGAAGAGTAAGGTTTTACCTGATAATGATAGCTACAGAATCTGCATTAGTTCATTTGGGTTAATATATGATGTGGATGGGATGGAGAGAATGCTGAGAGAAATGGAAAGTCAACCTCAAATTGTCATGGACTGGTGTACTTACGCCGTGGTAGCCGAGTTCTATGATAGAGAATTCCTTGTAGATAAGGCCGCCGATGCTCTTGAAAAGGCAAGAGTGATATTACAAAATAAGGGTGTTAGAAGAAAAAGCCCCAATTATCTTCTAAAAACTGATTATCTGAATGTGATAAGGTCATTAGTGAAGCTTGGTGAGTTAGTTGAGGCTATGAAGTTCACGAATGAGTGGGAAGCATTAGGTAATTGGCGCAATTTGCAGGATATTGGCATTCCATACACAATTATTGAAGGGTATGTCAAAAATGGTAAATTACAAGAGGCATTTTATAGTATTGAGACATGGTCTAGAAAAGGGAAGATTGGTGTGGACAAACTTTCATGCTTACTTTGTAAAGAATACCTGAAAGTGGGTAATGTGATTCAAGCATTTAACTGCTTTCGGGGAACTCGACATTCTTCTGAACTTCACCCAATCCTTCCCATGCTGTTTTTCGAATACATAGAAAAGAAATGTGGATCATTATTTCCCTTGCACTGCACTAGGTCAGTTAAACCTGCCACGGGCACAATATTCTTAGATGTCAATACAATCGGTTCGGTACAACATGAGAACTCGACTCAAGCCTTAAATATGGATTACGAGAATATTGTCAAGTCATTAGTTGATTCAGGCAAGTTAGATGAAGCCAGGAAGATGGCGATAAAGTGGGAATTATCTTGCAAAGGGCGTAGTTCGGATTGTTTGAACATTCTTAAGATAATCACTGAGGGATATTGTAAAATGTCTTTCTTTGTGGAAGCAGAGGCAATGGCGGAAGCTTGGACAAGAGAAAAAAGGTCTCAGGTTGCAGAAATCTGGTTTGTACTAGCTTCGCATTACCAGCTTCATGGTAAAATGGTAAGGGGATTCGAGTGCATGAGGAGGTGTTTCGATTTAACACCGGGGCTCAAGGGCAATTACGATATGATGTTGTGGACGTTTATGAATGGGATTGGGTATTTAAGTGGCATGAGTAATGTACGGGGGACAGTATAACTAACAATGAGAAGATTCATCCATCATTTGCCATTAAAAACGCTGTCTTCTATATTATAGGTCAGTGCTGCATTTCTCTTTTAGGCTGGAATTGCTTTTGTCTGTTTTTTGTCTTTATTTTATTTTTTGTCTTTATTTTAAGCCACCATAGCCATCGCTAAATTATGTTTTTTTTTTAACTTGAAGGGTTCATTCTGTCCGTCCTTTGAGATGTTATTACAGCTGATTTTCTATTGGTTTCAGTGTTCTATTCCTATGACCAGTAGGGCTGGGTTGGGAAAACTGAAAATCGCAAACCGAACTGAAAGTGATCGAAACGAGCTTGAAAAAACTGAACCGAAAAAATCAAAATCGAATATAAAAAACCGAACATTGTTTGGTTTTCGTTTTGGTTTTTACTTTGGAAATGAACTGAACCGAATAAGTCGAACTTTCTTAGGTATTTTTCTTTGTTTAAATGGGTATATGTGTAATGCAAAAAATTATAGAAATATACATGCAAATAACTAATTAGTCAATTAAATTTATTTTTCTCAGCTATTAAATATTTTAAACCATATTATAAACTTTAAAAAACCTAGGAATATAAGCTTCAATAACTTATCCTAATACGAAATTATATTAACATTAAAAATTGATACAAGTAGTTTATATATTTATAGAAATTTTTTTTGATGTTATAATAGGAAAGAAAGTATTATACCAAAAACACAAATTTTTCGCACATGATGTTTAAATACGAAGGCTTTAAGAGTATTTGGAAGTTCTTAGATAATTGTTGGGAACTCAACAAATTTTTTTTATGTAAAATGGAATCGAACCAAACTCTAATCTTCCGTTTAATTTTTGGTTTTGTGTAAAAGTCAAACAAAAAATTTGACCCAATCTTATATATTGTTATTGCTTCATCGAGTTAGGCTGTGTTCTGTTCACCTGATCTGATCGGATCTGGTCTGATTTTTTTAAGATCCGATCTTGTCTGATTGTAATTATAATTAAAATTGTTTCTAATCTGGTCTGGTCTTATTATAATAAGAATAAGTAATAAGCATAAAAAAATAAGTTGAACGGAACTCTACCTTAGTGTTTTTATAACTTTTAATGCTTACAAATTTTATTTTTAAAAAATTAAAAAAACAAAAAAAACTGCATAAAATTAAACCGAGTAACCAATGATTTATATGTATATATTTTTATGCAAAATCAAACCGAACTAAACTATCTTCTGTTTTATTTTTACTTTAAGGTGAAATGGATCCGTCAAATCGAACCACCCCAAAAATCAGTATGTCCCATAAAATATGGGAATTGATATCTGCATTTCAAAATTCAGTAGTGGCACTCCATTATTTATTTATTTATTCATTGATTGATGATAGAATTAAGTCAATTAACTTAGGGGTACACCAATATGAGGTATTTGATTTGTACACAAAGTTAACACAAACACAAAATATCTGTGCTGCACAGACATTTTGTGTCAGTGTTAGCCTGTGCAAATGAGGTACCCTTGGTGTACACTTGACATTGCCCTTGATGATATTGCCCCTTTAATAGAAATGCCCCATCCCATCTTACCCCATACTTAGGCTTGTCAATGGGTCGGGTATAGACCCGAATCCGTATAATACCCGTAGTTTTTTACCGGGTTTAGGAGTATAAAAAATATCGTTTACCCGTACCCGTTATTTTAAAAAGATAAAGGGTCGGGTATAGGACGAGTAGTCCCGACCCGTTTAAAACCCGTACCGGTTAAATATATACTAGGTAGATAATATTGAATATTACAAAACCTTACCACTATTCTTCACTACTCATCTTCTTTGCTGGTTGCGTGGCTTCCAAATCTATGTGTATTTATTTCACCACATTAAAGGCATGCACACGTTGGTTTATGCTATGTAGTTGTATAAAATAAATAATTTGCATTAGCTATAATGTTATAAAAAACATTCTTGTGCCCGCATGGGTAGCTTAGTTGGTCAAGAGCGTGAAATCTTGGACTGATGACCAGGGATCGAATCCCGCAAGCGGCAGTGTGGGAGCTATCCAAAAATCTCCTAAAGGGTGAAGAGGCTCCTTGTGCGCGGTGGGCACGGGTCTAGTGTTCTTGGCCGACTGAGTCACCATGATTTACATCCTCCACCATTTCTGTCGGGCAAGGGGTGGGGGCGCCTGGGGTGGGCGATTCCACCTTTTGGACCGATAAAAAACATTCTTGCAACATGAATGATTGTGACAAGAAGAACGATTATGAATCCAAAAATATTGTTGTAGATTTTTGGTAAATAAGGACGATTTTTGTTGCAGTAACGTATTATTCTCATTTTTATTTTTATTCAATTAAAGTATTTTTCATTCATAGTATTTTCACTAATTGTTTTTTAATTATAGAAAAATAAAAGACGTCAACTTTTATCATGGGTATACCCAACCTGATACCGAGACCCAATGGATCCAAATATAGATTAAACTTCAAGACCCGTCGGGTAAACGGGTACGGGCCAGGTTCATTTTTTTTTGAAATAGGTACAGATTTAGAACACTATGGACCGACCCGAACCCGACCCATTGACAGGCCTACCCATACTCTTTCTGTCACCCGTTTGATTACGATTTTTTTTCTCTTCGCTCGATAATTTTGGTTTATTTATGCAATTTCATTAAGTATTTGATAAAATAAAATATTCTTATCATCTCTCGTTTTGTAAAATTTTGATAGAGTTTTTAATATGTATTTTTATTTTTTATTGATATACCGATTTGTAAATAAAATGATTTTAAAAATAAAATAAATCTCTTAAATCCCAATCTATAATCAAATTGGAAACGGGGGAGTATGAATTACCCCATTTCTATTAGCTCCTTTTTTGTACATTCTAGCTGCGCAATGTATTTGCAAACCAAATTACAACTTAATCATTGATATTAATATTGTCCAATCGACAACTTTTATAATCTTTATGATCAAAATTAAATTAATACTTCATACTTATTTATTAATTCATTTGTCCCAAACAAATATTTACGTTTCATTTTTGTAGTGTGATAATCTGACCACTATAATTATATTTGTACATAAATAATTCCATGAGTATAGAAATTTAATATATCAAATACATATTTTAAATAAACCCAACTACATTCAATTTAAATTATAACACAATATACAATTTTTACTCATCGTGAGGAAACTTGTAAAATTTTATTGAGAAAATTTAGATATAAAAATATTTTCGAGATAGGATAAAATAAATTTGTCAAAGGCCAAGTTTGGAATTTAGCTCTTAATGATTGACTGATAATTGTCCATGTTGGTTGGTTTGAACAACTGGTAGAGTTGGCTGCTTTGACCAATCGATTATGTTGGTTGTTCATAAACAATGTTTGGCAAACTTAGCTTCTTCAAAGTAACTTTTATAATTTGAATTTAATTTAATGAAATTTTTGTTGGATTTATGTGAGGAAGAACACTGCGAAGCAGTGTTAAACGAAAAACTCGATAGTATAACGAATCGCGTACGAAACGCTATCAGATCAAAGTTATTTCGGGGTATACGAAATACTTCAATCGGATAAGACGTTAATCAAGAACGAGCACTCAAGAATCGGTCCCTCAACCCATACCACGAGACTCTATTTTATAGAGTCAAAAATTCTTGTGATCAGACATCAACGTTCGCGTAGATGTACGCGTACGTTCGCGGGAGGAAGAAGAAGGTGCGAGTTTGAACGAAAGGTCTCTTGTAATTTAAGGCTTAATTTCGACGTTTATCCATTGTGTACGAGTCCTTTACCGTTTTGGAATCCGGTCACGAAGCACTTAGAGCTTAGAGCTTATGTGTATATTCTAAACGAGGTATGTCTATCCGATTGAAGTATTTCGTATACCCCGAAATAACTTTGATCTGATAGCGTTTCGTACGCGATTCGTTATACTATTGAGTTCTTTGTTTAACACTGCTTCACAGTGTTCTTCCTTACATAAATCCAACAAAGATCAAAGTTATTCCTAAAGAACTCAAAGATGACGTGTGGCAATTCCGTAAGAGATTTGAGCAGCAAGTTCTCGAAGTTAGAAAAGTTCGAAGGCCAGGACTTTTGTCGATGGCAGAAGAAGATGCACTTCCTTCTCACAACATTGAAGGTCGTGTATGTACTGAGCACGCCTATGCCGCAGATCATGGATGACGATACACTGGAACAGACGAGGAAGCGGTGCAAGTGGGAGAACGATGACTACATTTGTCGAGGACATTTTCTAAACGGTATGTCTGACTCTCTGTTTGATGTATATCAAAATGTTGAATCTGCAAAGTTACTGTGGGACGGTCTAGAAGAAAAGTACATGGCCGAGGACGCTTCAAGCAAGAAGTTCCTCGTCAGTAACTTTAACAATTATAAGATCGTCGACTCTCGACCGGTCATGGAACAATACAATGAACTTTTGAGGATCCTAGGCCAGTTTGCACAGCATAACATGGCAATGGATGAATCCATATCTGTGTCTAGTATTATAGACAAACTGCCTCCTTTGTGGAAAGAATGCAAACGTGAGTTAAAGCATAACAAGGAGAAAATGAATCTGGTGCAACTTGGAACCCATCTTCGGATTGAGGAGTCCATCCGAGATCAAGAGGGAAAGAAGGTGAAGGACATAGTCGGTCCATCGTCCATCAACATGACGCCGAAATTGTACGAAGGCGCACGACCCGGATACGTTAAGGTTTCTTTCTTCCGGACCGGTTTATAAAGTTATAGTAGTATCTAGTAGTAATAATAAATAAGAAAGATAAGAGGGAAACTGGCTCCGGACGAGTTGCTAGGTATAATTCAATGAACGCACTGTTCTCCGTAATGGCTGGATCCATTGCAGAACGTACAAATATAGGATTTAACCTGTCTGTGCAACCTCATGGCGTAGAAGTTTACGAGATCAAACACTCGTTAACTTCGGCGTCACGTGGAAGTTATACGATATGGCTGCAGGTTGGTCGATATCCATATGTTTTGGATCCGGCCACAAAGGTGGAATGGGTACGGGGAGGCTACTCTGGTACCGACTTCATTATGGCGCCAGTGGAATTATAAACCACTGGTTATAAAGAATAAAAGAATATAAGTATGATCGATCCAATCCCGAAAGAAAAGAAAGGTCCAATGTTCATAAGTCCCCTTTTATGGTATGGCTTTGTATGGCTTTTGGAAAAGATAAAGATGAACCTCTCCTCTCCCGTAGGTCGAGTGACTCCCTTTGGTCGTACCTCTCCCGTAGGTCGAGTGACTCCCTTTGGTCGTACCTCTCCCGTAGGTCGAGTGACTCCCTTTGGTCGTACCTCTCCCGTAGGTCGAGTGACTCCCTTTGGTCGTACCTCTTCGAAAAGTGAAGAATAAGTCTAGGGGTAAAAAGCGCAAGTCCGGAAATACACCCAAACCTGCAAATAAAAAGGCTAAAATGGGTTGTTGGAAGTGTGGGAAACCAGGCCACTTCAAGCAGGATTGTCGGATTGGCAAGCGGGACAAGGATACAAGTAAGAATGGTTCCGGTCAAGGAACCAAGGACCAAAACAAATCAGAAGGTAAGATTATTCCACTCATCAATGATTCGGTTAAGAATTATGTCTCAATTATATCTGATGCATTTTATATGCAGAATGATGACATCTCTTGGTGGGTTGATTCGGGGGCAACATGTCACGTGTGCAAGGACAAAAGATGGTTCAGTTCGTTGGAATCAATGGACTATGGATCAGTGTTGCGCATGGGAAACATAGCCACCGAACCTGTCAAGGGAATTGGAATAGTAAAACTTGTATTCATTTCCGGCAAAAATGTACTCTTAGATAATGTATTATATGTACCAGGTCTTCGTAAAAATCTTATAACGGGGATTGTATTAAATAACCATGGATATAAACAAGTATTGGAAAGTAATAAATATATTTTATCTAGACATGGTGGCTTTGTAGGTTTTGGTTATATATGGAATGACATGTTTAAATTAAGTTTGAATGTTCCTTTTGGCATGAATGATGTTTGTATGACAACTACATGTGATGTCTTAAACAAATCAGTTTTATGGCATGCTCGTTTAGGTCATGTGCATTATAAAAGATTACAAGATATGTCCAAAAGTAACTTAATTCCTGCCTTTGACATAAACTAAGACAAATGTAGGACATGTATGTTAACCAAGATAACTAGAAAACCGTTTAAAGAAATCAAAAGGGATTCTAGTATACTTGAACTCGTTCATAGTGACTTGTGTGATTTCCATGCAACTCCATCTTTAGGAAATAAAAAGTACATGATCACTTTTATAGATGATTCCTCTAGGTTTTGTTATGTATATCTTTTACATGCTAAGGATAAAGCATTGGAAACTTTTAAAGTGTACAAAACTGAGGTAGAATTGCATAAAAATAACTTGGTTAAAACTCTTCGGACAGATAGGGGAGGAGAATATTTTGATCCAGTTTATTTTCAATTTGTTGGTATAATTCATGAGACCACTGCTCCCTATACACCACAACATAACTTTGATCTTTGTTGGATTTATGTAAGGAAGAACACTGCGAAGCAGTGTTAAACGAAGAACTCAATACTATAACGAATCGCGTACGAAACGCAATCAGATCAAAGTTATTTCGGGGTATACGAAATACTTCAATCGGATAAGACGTTAATCAAGAACGAGCACTCAGGAATCGGTCCCTCAACCCATGCCACGAGACTCTATTTTATAGAGTCGAAAATTCTTGTGATCGGACATCAATGTTCGCATAGATGTACGCGTACGTTCGCGCGAGGAAGAAGAAGGTGCGAGTTTGAACGAAAGGTCTCTTGCGGTTTAAGGCTTAATTTCGACGTTTATCCATTGTGTACGAGTCCTTTACCGTTTTAGACTCTGGTCACGAAAATCTTAAGGATTTTCTTAAAGAAAATCGACCCCGGCCAGGGGCTCTGCCCCTTGGACCCCGCCAGGGGCTGCCGCCCCTTGGACCCCGCCAGGGGCTGCCGCCCCTTGGACCCCGCCAGGGGCTGCCGCCCCTTGGACCCCGCTACCCGGGGGCTGCCGCCCCCGAACCCCCGCTATCCCGGGGGCTCCTCTCCCGGACTCCCATTGTGAATTTATAATATCGTTGAACGAGCTCGTTTTCCGCGTCTCCTAACTCATTTGACAACGTCTATTTAAATTGTTGTCCGATCGAAATAAATCCAATTACACAAAATAAACTGATGACACTAAAATCACCAACATTTTTCACCTATATAATTATATGGTCTAACATGCTTTGCAATATATATTCTTTCTTTCGTCAAATAAAATTTTAAGCTATAAATAGTTCTAAAGTCATTATGATTTTATTTAGTTATGTGTTTTTATCAATCAATTGATAGAATAATATAATTATATGGAGTATCATATTTTGTTTCAAAAAATTTTGATGTAGTTCTTAAATTTATAATTTGTTTATTTCTACACCAAAATCTCGAAAAAATCATAATTTTTTTGTTCTCTCCAATCGCTTCATGAAATTTACATGGGGAAGGACTATTTATTATTTATTTCTTTATATATACATATTATTTATTTATTTATCAATTTTTATTTATATATTTATTTGAATACCAATTTTTTATTTAATTACACAATAAATAATAACTTTTTTTCATAAAAATTACATACAATAACAAATAATAAAAAATCTATTTTCTAACATCCAAACCGAAATGCTACTCCCCGTAGGTTTTTAAATTTTGGCTTTTTGGGCTCAAACAGCCAACCCTTGGAGCCAACTACCAAACACCTTTTTTGGCAGTTTGATCAGTCAAATCTGCTAAAATGGGTCAAAACAGCCAAAAGTCATCCCAAATGCCAAAAATCAAACATGCCCAAAGTGATTATGGGTCAATTATTCATGGCCAGTGATATCTGCGCTCCAAAGTTTGCTCGTGGCGCTCCACATTTGTTATTTTTACACAAATGAGACAATATTGCCTTTTGCTAGTTAAGTTAGCTCTTGTGCTCCGTTTGTCATCTGAGTGGTCCTAGCTTCTTATTACTAATTAATTCATCAACATACTACCTCTCTCCATTATTATTTATCCCATTTTAATTTATTTTAATCAAAATTAATAAAATTTAACCATTGATTCTACCACGTATAAAAGTTATATCAGATATTGATACAAGAATATTTTAATAACATTCATGTTATTAAATATCTTTAAAAAAATTTTTATTAAATTAATATATGATGTAATTTTATTATAAGTTAAAAGTCAATCATGATTGATAGAAGAATTCAAAACTGGATAAATATTTAACGATAGATGTAGTATAAGAAAACAAATAACATTTATTCTAGGTTTATTTAGTCTATGAAATTACATAATCTTTTATTTGTATATGCCCCAAAAAATCGATCACTCTTTATCTTTCTTTTTTTTAAGAATATATATATAGTCTGAATATATTTCGCTCTCTTCTAAAAACATCAATCATTTACTTTTTTATCTTTAACATTTTTTCAATATCATTCCTACAATTTTGTTAATTCCCAAAAAGATAAAATAGATAGTTTTAATACGACGCGTAGAGTGTTGTTGTTATTATTATTATTATTATTATTATTATTATTATTATTATTATTATTACTATTACTATAACTATTATACTCACTCTGTTCCCAATTTGATTACAAATTGGGATTTACAAGGATAAATATCTCACTTTTGAAATTATTTTATTTACAAATTGGTATATCGATATGAAATAAAAATTACTCCTTCCGTCCCATTTTATAATGCATGTTTTGGTGTACGATATTTGACTAAAATTATTTTCAAATCATTTTATATGACAAATGATATAGAGTTAAAAAATAAAAATTACATATTAAAATATTACATCAAAAGATCTACATCATAACTAAACAACAAAAAATATAAGTTGATTAAAACATAGTTTGTGTATATAATTTTTAATTACATAATTTTATTTTTTAATATCAAAATGCTATTTAAATAAATTAAAATTTAAAAATAAATTCAATCAACTATTAAAATCTAAAGTTAGATTTTAGTTTGAGAAGAAAGAGATTATACAATTTTTTTTGAAAAAATAAAAAAGTAAATGCATGGGAGGAATGGGGCTTAACTGCTTAAGTGATAAACATTATGGGTAAAATGATGATGGGAATTCATAGGAAGGACAATATTGTCCATCTTTAAAATAAATTAAAAAGTGGAGTGTAGCTAGTAATTTGTGGAGCTCAAATATCAATTCCCATTATTCATCAATACATTTTAGTTTAGGTATAGTGGTACATTTGCATCCGTCTTTCATGATCTTTTGATAAAATAAAATTCATATACCATGTCTTTATTATTTTTTTTGAAGCAAGCATGTCTTTATTTGCTAAAGTAAAGTTTTGTTCTAATTTTTGGATATAACAATTACTCCGTATTTTTTAAATTTCGAATGACCACTTTGAATTAAATAACATAATACTCCATTATTCACAAATTATCTTCACATTTATTACTCCTTTCATACGGAAATAATCTTCTCATTTCTCTCTTTTCTTCTTCTTTCTCTTAATTTTGTGTTTTAGATATATCGATCTGCAACAAATCTGTTCATGTATCTTCTTCTCCTCCTATTCCCCCCTTATTCTTTCTCATCTCTCTCTTTTTTCCCCAGACATGGCGGCTGACAACGATGGTGGTCTAGCGGCGTAGGGTTGAAATTTTTCTTTTCCTTTATAATTTAAATATTTTCCCATAATGAGTTAAGATATAAAATTTTTTAAACGCGATTATAGTCAGAAAGTTGTTTTTAAACGCGATTATTTAATTTCTATAAAATAAATTTTTTGTTAACTAACTCATTAAATAATACTTGGGGACATAGTTTGTTGACATGTCAAAAAAAATTGCCCAATAAGCGCGCCACAAGTCACAATTATAGAAGTCCAACTCTCAAATTTTATATATAAAGATTTATTCTAAAAAGTCCAAATAACTTCATTTTTGTTACATACATAGTGTAATAAAAGTGACAAAAATATATTGTTTTATCAATTAAATTAATATTGTAGCAATAAAACCTTAAGAACAAAAAAATTTGTTATCAAATAATCAATGAAAATATGTAAACGGATAAAAATTATTGATAAAAAATGTCTAATATAATTTTAAAATATGTGATTTTCATTTTTTATTTCTATATTAATTTATAAATAGACTCATTTTAAAATCACAAAATTTACTATGTCGTTCAAATATGGAAAATGATTTTGAGACGAAAGGAGTGTTTCATTATGTTTAGTTGAATTGTCATTGTATAATTCATCAAAATATATTTTTTGTTTAATTCGTCGAAATAGATTCATTTTTATAATTCATCATTGTTTAAATTGTCGAAATAGATTCATTTTATTTAATTCATTTTATTTTATTCTATCAAATAATTAATAAAAATATACCTGAGTATACATAAAAAAAATTATCAAATTTAGAAAAAAATAAATTTTACTACGTAATTAAAATGAGGACAAGAGACTAATTTAAATGTGAAATGCAATGATCTAGAAGTTTCTTGCCCCGGCAATATACCCCCACTTAACATTTTCTCGAGCGTAAGGACACACCATATTTATACTGGTTCACCACATGCTTGTGGCTAATCCAGTCCAACGAGAGACTCTAATTTCTCGAACGTCCTATCAACTCCGTTAAGCTTAAGGGTGCCTAATAAAGCGATACAATTCGAGTCACACGAGCCGCAACGATGCATATATGCTCAGAGATATCGCACTCTGAAACTTCTACCCGGATACCCTTCCTTCGTAACTAACAAGGAAACAAACCTCTCTTCAAGTGTATACAACACTTAAGCACTCAATAATAAGCCTCTCTTTAAGGGTAGATATGAGTAAAATAAAGAAAGAGCAGTGGCGGATCCACTTTGCATTAGTTGGGGGCAATTGCCCCCTACTACTTTTTTTTTTACTTTGATTTTTTAATTTTTTAGAGTTTTATTATTAATGACCCAAACTAAAATTCTAAAAATATTAGAGACCCAAATTAAAAATTGAAGACCTCAATAGATAGTGTTAAATGAGAGCAAATGATAAAAGTTAAATATTTATAGAATAAATCAATACTTCTTCTGTCCCATAAAGTCATTCTCATTACAAAATAATTGCGTCTCTTATAGTCATTTCCAATTTTATTAAAAAAACTACTTTTATCCCTTATTGTTTCATACCCTACCTATCACATCATACATTTTTCCTAATAATCTACACATCACATTCTACTTTTACACATCATATCAAGGGCATTTTTGGAAAGTTTACACAAAATTATCCTTTCTTATTTTATCACTTTAGTCAAACCGTCTCTATCTTTATGGGACGGAGGGAGTAGAATATTAATGTGAAATTTTGAAAAATCACGAAAATAAAATCTAAAGTGCAACACTAAAAATATATACACATAGCCACATAGTAATTATAATAAACTAAGTTATAATGCAATACATAAATTAATTTTTTTTTAAACTTTTTAGTTTTTTATTTGAATATTTGTTTGAGATTAAATTCACTATTTTTTTAATGTTTTGAATTATTTGTATAAAAAAAATTCTGGGGCGCTGCCCCCGAACTCCCGCATGGTGCCCCCTACTCTGTAAGTTCTTGCATCCGCCACTGCTCAAGAGCACGACAATATATTCAAGAAATGGCTCTCAAAAAGATATGAAAAATGAATATGATCTAGGCAATGAAAGAATATTGAAAGTGTGAAGAAGTGTGTGTTAAAATAGATCCCAAAAAACCTATTTTTATACCCAAAAAGATGATGCAACGGTTGGGAGAAAATGGGGTTGATAAGGCATGATTTGTGGAAGTCAAATCAAAGGTGGTCTGCTAAAAAATGGCTTGAGCATCGATGTAATAATGAGTACATCATTGTTCTGGCTGTTGACTTTCCTTTTGAATAGCCAAATGGTCATACGAACAACGATGACTCTCAAAGAAAGAAAGATTTTGTCTTAAAAATCTTCAACGCTCATGTGTGAACATCTGTTAGAAATAATAAAAAAGAATAATTCTGTATTCAGTTGTGTCCCCATTACAAAGATCTAACCCCCTTTATATAGGAAGAGAGAGTAAAGCAAATAAGTAAATTTCTATTCCTACCATAATTCTACTTTTACTAAGAATAGAATTAAACAAAGATGGAAAGTAATCAAACCGAATATTACAAGGATTGGGACCGAATCTTATAAGGATTCGGCCTTGGCTCAGCCTCTGCTTGGCTCGGACTGGGCATAAATTGGGCTCGGGCTCGACTCACCAACACCCCCTTAAATCTAGAGCGTGCGGATTCCGTATGCCTAGTTTGGACAACAAATGATTAAATGTCACTGCGGGCAAGGCTTTAGTATGAATATCAGCAGGTTGATCAGCAGACGCGATATGGGCAGTACGCAGCATACCGCGCTGAATTTCATCTTGAACAAAGTGGCATTAAAAATGGGATCTACAAAAATGTGAAGATCCGTTTGGCTGTCGCGGTACAATCTCATCAGGCTTTGCTGGCGCGCACCTAGGGAGCCGAGTAACGAGCGGAACCACTTAAGCTCGCATACAGTAGTTTTCATTGATTGATATTTTGCTTTCGTAGAGGAACGGGAGATTGTGCTTTGCTTCATCGATTAACAACCCCGTGTTACTCAAAAGGCAGAATCGGGCAATTATATAATATATAATATATAATATATACTCCCTCCGTCCCCCTAAGATGTTCTCATTTTGACTTTTGGTGATTTTTAAGGAGAGTTGAAAAAAGGTGAAAGTTTACCATAATAGCCTTAATGAAAATGGGTAGAGTGTATTAAATGATGTTGGTGAGGTATAATAAATAAAGTAAGTGGGTGTAGTTGTGGTATTTTATTTGTTAAAAACTGAAATGAGAAGATCTATTGTAGACAAAGAAAAATGGCTATTGAGAAGATCTATGGGGGACGGAGGGAGTAATATATATGAACTTAATATAATAAGAACTTAAAATCTCAAAACACAGATAAAAAATGATAATTATGAAAAGAGTTTGAAAATGTCCATATTTATAATAGGAAAAATTTATAAACATTTTCCCCTCCCCCGTTTGGGTGGAGTCTCTCTCTCTAAAAAATCGGCGATTACATCCACTGTTTTGCCTATTTAGATTGGCCCCGTTTGGAAAAGTCTATCAAACAAGGCCATTATGGTTTCCCTTTGCCATTATTTTCTTTTCTCTATTTGTTTTCATCCCTGCTCATCCCGTTTGCTGTCTTCCCCGGTGCTTTTTGGAGACCCTAGGAGACAAATCGGATAAAGTACATCTCTTTCCTATAAAAATTCTCTAGAGGTATGAAGCATCTTCGATCCATTTAGCATTTGTTAGTTAGTTAGGAAGTACTTGTTTTCATTTTCTATATATAGTTACTATACAATGTGATGCTTTCATTTCTTTAGAACATGGTATCAGAGCTGGTTGCCGTAGCTCCAAGCAATATTCCTTATCTTCAAATTTCTCTCTCGCACGCTTCAATTCCCAATTCTTCTCCATCTTCGACTTCAACTTGAGATTTCCGGCGATGGAGGAGTTGAATCGCCGATTCACCTATTATCTATGCCCCGATCGATTCACCTCTTAGCGTTGGTTGGTGGATTCTGCGTCCGATTAGTGGTGAATCGACTCCTCCGCCAAGCTCATCAGAACTGGAATCGATCGAATCCGCCAAACAGACGGAACGACAAGTTTCTCTTCCAGATCTCATCCAATTTCGTCTCCAGTGAAACATCTGGAGTCTCGTTCAAGATCTGTCGTCTCCTGCATCAAAGACGTCCTCGTCGGCTCGATTTGTTTCGTCCTCAGAAGCCGCCGTGATTCTGTCACGAATTCCACCGGGACTCCGACTTGCATCCCCGTCCAGATACACCGCCTCTCAATCCGTAGCCTCATCATGGTTCATCTCACAGCACTCACGCTACAGGTCATGATCGATCTTCTTGTTGAGAGTCGTTGGTCTCGCCTGGAAATGGCTTNATGATGATGAAGTGGTGCTGCAGTTCCTTCAAATTACTCCAAATCAGATTCATCATTATCAAATGCAAAATTGTAATTCGTGCATTTGAGTTTCTGTCTTCAATTAAATCAGTTTTATGACATGAATAACATTGTCAATCTGATTTCATCCTCATCAAATTTCATCAGAGATTGGATAAATTCAAAACATATTCTTCATTTTTGACTTTGCCATCTCTGTTTCATCTTCATCATTATATTGGTTCTCAAATTGAGTATCCAATTTCATTCTCATTCTCATGAGTCATGATTGAAATGTTTCGTTCAATCATTTTCCTTCACTTCTGAAATTCAGAAGTTTCATCATTATTGAGTTTCACTCGTATCGTTTTGATCGAGTTTCACTCGTATCGTTTTGATCGAGTTTCACTCGTATCGTTTTGATCGAGTTTCACTCTCATCATCATCATCCGGTTTTCGGTTGACTTCATCAATTGTTTTTTGTCAATTGATTTCATTTCATCATTTGATGTTTTCGTTTGAGTTCATCAATTGATTTTTCATCTCATCTTCATCATCGGTTGTCTATGGTTTCCTTCTCTGTTTGTTCGGGGAACCATGGCTGCCATCACTAGCACATTGCTGTTTTTTATCACCTCTCATCTTCCTATTTCATCTCTGAACCTGGGAGTGATGTTGTCTACAATCAAAAGCATTATTTCCCCATTCAACAGAGAGTTGTGCCTCTCAGTTTCAGAATCAAGGGCCTTCAGAATCAAGCATTATTTTCCCACTGTTCTGCAGCTTGTCTCTAGCAAGTTCAAGTTCAGAGATCTCAAAGTTGACTCTCTTCGAGACTGATATCATGATTGGGCGCTTGAGGTGTTTGGTATAACTTTGGAAGAGAATGGAGCTAAGTCTACATCTTGGTTTAGGATGCTGCAAGTTGTTTATGCACTATCAAGACTCAAGAGGATCTTCATACACAATGCAGCACAAAGGATTTTTTTCAGTTGCAACTTGAAGTTGAAGTTTTTTTCAGCACAAAGGATATTTTTGGTTGTTACTTGTTTTCATTTTCTATATATAGGACTTAACCATGTAATACACAATTTGAGCTAGTTACTACAATGTGATCCTTTCATTTCCAACAACCCGAAATTGCAACTAGGGATTGCAAAATTTTTCTGCCTATTCCAACAATGAGGTTTTTATTGCTTTTCACCCATTTGTTTTCTGATTTTGTTCTTTCGGACATTATTTTTGCTTTTTTGTTGTTCTTTTTTTGCTTAAAAAGTTTCTATACTTTTTTGCTAATTTTCGGGCATGTGATTTCTGCATATTTGCCATTTTTCTTCAAATGACTTCCAAAATCTTGAGCAATGAATATAGGGCCGGCCGCGAGGATTCGATGGCCTTGGCCGAGAGGAAAAAAAGGCCCTAAAGTCTTTATCTCTAATGGCTTAACGAATTAAAGTGTGCAAAATAATTATATTTAAATGACAATTAACATACTAGTATCATAACAAAATCAGTAAATGACAAAATCATACTCCCTCCCTCTCCAATTTGATTACAAATTGCGGGTTACGGAGTAAAATTTCATACTTTTTGAAATCATTTTATTTACAAATTGGTATATCTATAAGATATAAAAATTATATATTAAAAAACTACGTCAAAATTCTACAAAACAAGAGGTGACAAGAATATTTTATTTTAAACAAACAAAAGTTATCGAGAGGAGAGAGAAAACAAAATTTTAATCTATTTAGGGACGGAAGGAGTAGTTAGATTTATATCTACTTACCTCCCCAAACTAATCTCTCGAAAATATCGACCTAGACAAGCTTGTAGGTCAAGGGTTAATCAACCGAACTGGAGGTCAATGACCTGGTCAACTATAATTAAAAGAATAATATTTTATATTATATTATTAGATGTTTTTAATTTATAAGGAATTCAAAATTCTATTTTTTCACTCTTCCATCTAGTTTTCAATATAATTCTACATACTACGTATATCGTTACACATTCTATTTTTATTTGTATTATTTCTTATTACTATTAAAGATAAATAATGAATATCTAATAAATACTAAAATTGTTAGGCAATACTCATATTTTTTTAAAAGTAAACGTTAGGTTATGTGTATTTATATATTACTCCGTAATTCGTATGTAAGACGTCACACTTATACTTTGTTGATTGAAACAAGAAAAAGTAGAAGAAAAAATTAATTTTGATATATTAAAGTATAATTTTTTAATATTTCTTAATTTGTATTGATGACAAAAAAATTTTAGGTAATTTTTTTTTTTTGAAAAAAAATTATTTTTAAGTATAAGTATTCAAATATTTTTTTAGATAAAACACAAACAATTTTAATACGGAGTAATTTTTTGAACATTTTAATAAGCTCATAAAACAAGTATATTGATACTACTTATATTTCTTTTTCTAAATAACTAGAATTTTTAATGAAATCAACACAATAGATATATATCTTGTTGCGTAACTTTTTTAACAAGGAGTTTAATACGGAGTAGCTTAAGTGAATGAAGCATCTATTCACATCATAAAATACCCAGGTTCAACTCTCACTTTACCCTTTAAAATATTGATGTCTTAATTTTTAATATATATATATATACTCTTTCCGTCCATAAATAAACTTTACGTTATGCGTTACAATGTTTGACTGAAGTTATTTTTAAATCAATTTATATGAAAAATGGTGTGAAATTTTAAAATAAAAATCACATATTAAAAAAGTATATCAAAACATCTACAAAACTAGAGGTGACATGACTATATTATTTAAGTATAGTCCATCCGTCCATAAATAAACTTTACGTTATGCGTTACAATGTTTGACTGAAGTTATTTTTAAATCAATTTATATGAAAAATGGTGTGAAATTTTAAAATAAAAATCACATATTAAAAAAGTATATCAAAACATCTACAAAACTAGAGGTGACATGACTATATTATTTTATCAAATGGGTAACGAAAATAGGCCAACAAAGTGAATAAAGTTTGACCCTGTGAATAGTGAACGTAAAGTTTATTTGTGGACGGAAGGAGTATAAATATATATGTATGTATATGTATATATATACACACACAATACTTAAAAAAAATTGTGCCCATTAAAATATTCCGGTAGGCCTGTTCTACCCACCCTCGGACTGGCCCTGAATGAAGAGCTAGAAGAAATTTTTGAAAAAATAAAAGTTTTAATTTTTGATAAAATAAGTTTATAATAATGAATAAAAAATAATAATAATGTATAATATAGATGTCATGGTTGGAGCTGAGATAAAAAAAATGGAAGCTAAACCACTGTGGAAGAGGTAAACTGACGTTCAGCTTTTACTTTTTTACATTTTCCGTTGGAGATAGGGGTGGACATGAAATCATTCCCATTGGACCATTTCGAAAAATCTCGAATTCTTTTGTAGTTGTACTGATATATTGGGACACATTTTTTATCCCGAACACGTTCTGTCCCAATATCAAATGGGACATGAGCGGGACAGCTTAAATTTATACCAACTCGTCATGTTTGTCTCGTTTCATCTACTCTACTAATATATAATACTAATTCTAGTCTAAAATCCAAATACATTCATTTTTTAATTAATTAGTTATTTAATTAAGTTAACTTTATAGGCTTGAAATTTATTTGGATCTGTTCCACTCATTGTTTTTTGTTGGATGGCTAGATGTTTCTTTTTCCTAATGAAATGTCACCCTCTCCTCCTCTTATGTTTGCGATTAGGACAAAGTAGAACGACTCGTATCCATCCCATTTTATTCCGATCCCGAATTTTATAAGACAAGCCGGGATAAGATTGTAATTTGAAACATTCAGGATTGTGGTTTATGTGTAACCGGACAAGACTTACGGGACAACTCAAAACCCGAACCGTCCAGATTATTCGTGTACACCCCTCCTAATTGGAGATGCTCACGCACATACTCAATTCTACAAAGATATAGCCGCCGCCGCCGATAGATTGCAATTGATGAATAAGATGGGGGGTTACTTTGGAGCGAACCAATTGGACTTAGGGCTGCGTTTCCGGCTGGCAGCGCTGCGATGGGGATGGAATAGCTGCTGCCATACAATTACAAACCACTGCCACGAGCGGATCTCTAACACTGGCTAGGTAGCTTCTGTCCTTTTTCACATTCTCATTCTCCTTGCTGCTATATAGTTTAATTCCTAAGGCCTGCATCACATTGGCACTACATAGTATCACTCAACACATATTATCGGGGTAAGATGGAACATTGTAGGTGTTTCTCTGTGCAAGCTGGTCAATACTGCTGTTTTTAACCTATAAGTCAGCAAATGACGTGTTTTATATGCTTATAAGCTACTTATAAGCTAGAAAAAGTAAGTAGGTCTTACTTATTCTTAAGCCAGTTTTTTTATTTCTCTGTTTTGACCATATTAGTTTCAAAACTTTTCCTCGCTCATTATGTATATCTCCAAATGACTTATATACTCCGTATCATTTAAGTCTTTATATCTACATGATTTTTTTTACTTTTAAGCAGCTTATAAGATTAAAAAAATACTTATAAGCAATAAGTCAATAAATACTAGCACAGAGAAACACCCACATTGTTTATGGATTTTGCCATAAAATTAATATGGTACTTTCTCATATAATGAAAGCGAGCAATGAAACAGATGAGGAGACTGTGGTTTCAGCTGACAGTTGTTCCAGATAATGATGGATGGCGCGATATCGGGGGGATAATGTCTTGGGCCAAATATTGGAATAAAAAGGAGGTTCCGGCGGGCGAGCTCAAGAGGATGGTGAGCAGACTTTGTAAGGACGGGCGGTTCCCTCTAGCTTTGAAGGTAACTTTAGCCCTATTTCATATTCATTCTTGATGCTGTTTTATGTCGGTGGACATTGCGCTGTTGGCAAAGGCAAGGAGTGCCAACCCGAGTTCGATTCCTGGGGGATGAGCGGTTCTTTTTTATGCTGCTTTATGGTTAATTAGACTACAAGAAACTTTTTGCTTTTCGCGGTACATCAATTTGCTGTAGCCACACCTAAACAATGGTTAAAATGCTGCATGTTATGGATAAATTTTTCCACCACATTAAATTTGTTGACCATCGAAGCATCTTCATTTCAGCCACACTAATCTTGTGTTCATGTTCACCCTTTGTTTCCCAACACTTCGTTCTATACAACAAAAATGGTCTAATCGTGGTATGATAAAAATGTCCCTTGAGTTTTAAACGTACTTTTTTGTCACATATAAACTTTGAAGCATTCTGCCATTTTGAGCAGCCTCCTTGAATATTGTGATTCATTGTCCTCTATGTCTCCATTGTCTTGAATGGTACACCTAAGATACTTAAATCTCTTCTCTTATGGCATAGTATTTTCTCCAATAAACTTGCACTCCATATACTCCGTGCAAGCCATGCAACTCCAAAGTCTGTCTCCACGAATCCAACTTCCCATTTAAATTCGCTCGTGATTTGCCCATAAAGATGACGTCATTGGAAAAAAAACATGCATGGTATGGATTCTTGGATATTTTGGTAAGCACCAGCCACCATCCAAGAGTTTCACTTTTAGGTTCTTCCATTGACACCCCCGTGAAATGAATTAATGATAATGTTTTTTTAGAAGCCTAGAAGCCAATAAATAAAATATACCCTATAAATTTTAAATACTAGGAGGTATGTTTTATTTTAAAATTTAAATTTTAAATTTCTACATTTTATTTTGGATTCGCAATTCATTTTTCAGATACCACATTTGCAGAATTGCATAGAAGTCAAAATAGAATGTTTAAAAGTTAGAATGCTTAGTGTTCATGTTGTGAGTACTTATCTTATACGAAGTATACTTGTAAAATAGATCAAAATTAAGTCAAAATAGAATGTTTAAAAGTTAGAATGCTTAGTGTTCATGTTGTGAGTACTTATCTTATACGAAGTATACTTGTAAAATAGATCAAAATTAAGTTTGTTCTTATTGCCTAGATCGGGCAAAAAATGCCCCGACCAGTTTTTGACCTGAAACTCGACCCAAAAACATTGGGTTTGGAACAAAAGTTTTGTTTACCAAACCCAAAGTGGCTCGCTATAAATGGGTCAATCCTATCTGCACCCTAACCTGACCTGACCGATCCGCTAGTGTAAGAACTTTTCAAAATTATATACTTTACTAGGAAATTTAATGTTATAAGAATAAGGTTATCATTATATATTTTTTCTTACTACTCATTTTTCATGCATAAATTTATATTTTCAGACAATTTTAATGATATTTCATAATTATCTTACTTTTTTCTAAAAATTATACATTATTACAAATCATTTATATTGATTTATGTACCTAAAAATTACTTCATGATTTAAAATAAATAATATAATAGATTTAATACATATTTTTTGGTATTTTATTTTTATTTGATGCAAAATGCAAGTCTTAATATGAATTTAAAATTTTTTAAAACTAAAGTCATAACCCGTTGGGTCAACCTGAATCCGATGAGACTGGGTCATGAACATACAGTTTTGAACCCGAACTCGAATTGACCTCAACCCCAAATAACCCGAACCTAAAGTGACCGAACCTAAACTTGATTTGCCAGCTCTATTATTGCGAGACGGTGGTTTCTTTATTCTTGATCGGGGTAAATTTCACCTATATACAAACTTGAAGCTTAAGTTTAATTTGGCAAACATACTTTTCTCTCTCACAGAAGTACACGAATTTCATTTTTATATCACCAAAAATCAATTAGCGGGTGTTCAGGTGACCAACAGGTCACTAGAGGCCAAAATACAATTTTATAAATTTAAAATTTTTAATTTTGACTCACTTCTTTTTTTCTCTCTCTTTGTTTTTCTCTCCACCCTTTTTCTTCCTTTCTTCCCCCACACACTCCCAACTATTTTTTATCTTTCTTTTGTTCTCCTTCCAACCCCATGTGAGCATACTTCGTATATAGGATTGTTGTTGACTCACTCGCCCATAGAGGGAGTTCAGGCTAATGAAGTATTATCATGAGAAATCACCCTAAATAGGACTAAAACATGTAAAAGTATCAAAATTGAAGTTCCATATTTTTATTCCTGAAATAGGAGTTCGCATTGTGGTAATGTGGTGGTAATGTGACACTGTACATGTGCGCATTACTATACGTTTTGGTAATGTACATGACCATGTTTAGTAATGTAAATGCATTTTAACTCCTATTTTGGGAATAAAAACATGGAAGTCCTATTTTTGGTATATTTTCAATGTTTTACTCCTACTTTTGTCTCTTCTCTTATTATCATTCTTTTATTTTGTGCGAAATGAAACAAGACTAATGATTTTATTGCATGTTAACTTTGATATTCGGGTTTGAATTAGTTAAGTGATGGTCAATCTGAATTTATGGTACAGTTATCAGAAGTAGATGGATGATATATAATTTAAATCATCGTGTCAGATTCAATGGAAAGATATAAGATGCATTCTGATAGCGTTTTGCTTTTTGTTGTAATGGTGTGCCTATTGTAGATTTACGACTGGATGGAGAAGGAAGGCATTTATAAATTCTCATCTAGGGACCATGCTGTGCGCATCAACTTGATAGGTAAGGTTAGAGGATGTTCTGCTGCGGAGCACTATTTCAGGAACTTGCGAGAACAAGCTAGAAATGACAAGACATTTGGAGATCTCCTTCATTGTTATGTTCTTAAACACAGAACAGAAAAGGCTTTATTTCATTTTAATAAGATGAAAGAGTCGGGTTCTCTGTTGTCGCCTCACCCATTCAATGAAATCATGTGCCTTTACGCCAAAAGTCTCCAAATTGAGAAGGTCCTTGGGGTGTTGGCCGAGCTAAAGAAGAGCAAGGTTTTGCCTGATAATGATAGCTACAGAATATGCATTAGTTCATTTGGGTTAATATATGATGTGGATGGGATGGAGAGAATGCTGAGAGAAATGGAGAGTCAACCCCAAATTGTCATGGACTGGTGTACTTACGCCGTGGTAGCCGAGTTCTATGATAGAGAATTCCTTTTAGATAAGGCCACCGATGCTCTCAAAAAGGCGAGGGTGATATTACAAAATAAGGGTGTTAGAAGAAAAAGGCCCAAATATCTGCTAAGAACAGATTATGAGAATGTGATAAAGTCACTGGTGAAGCTTGGCGAGTTAGAGGAGGCTATGAAGTTTGTCAAGCAGTGGGAAGTACTCGGTAATTGGCGCAGTGTGGATAATATTAGCATTCCTTATTCAGTCATTGTGGCGTACATAAAAAATGGTTCATTGCGAAAGGCATTTTATAGAGTCATAGAGTGGACTAATAAGCGGAAGGCCGGTGTCGACAAACTTTCGCTTTTACTTTGTGATGAATACCTCAAATTGGGTGATCTGTTTATTGCATTTGACCGCTTTCAGGTAGATGGTTGTATGCTGTTTGAACCTGTAGAGGTTCAGAGGTTGTTTCTCCAATACGTAGAAGAAGAATGTGGATCATTTTTCCCATTACGCTGCAGTCGATCATTGTGCACACGATCCCTTAAAACTGATGCGGGCAAAACATGCTTAGAAATCATTCCAATCAAGGAGAAAAACAAAATCAAGGTCGCTCTACTGATACACCCCAAGAATTCAACCCAATCAGTAAACAAGGATTATGAGAATATAATAACGTCACTTGTGGAGTCAGGGGAGTTGAATGAGGCCAGGAAGATGGCGATGGAGTGGGAAGCATCTGGCAACTTGACTAGTCTCGATGATTTAAACATTTCAAAGTTGATCATTGACGGATATTGTCAAGAGTCTCTCTTTGTGGAAGCAGAGGCAATGGCGGAAGCTTGGACAAGAGAGAAGAGGTGTTGGGTTCGAGGGATTTGGTTGATACTTGCTTGTCATTACCAGGAACAGGGTAAAATGGTAAGAGGATTGGAGTGCATGCGGAGATTTCTTTGTTTAACACCAAGTCTCAAAGTGTGGAAAGAGGATGATGAGATGTTTAAGATGTTTCTGTTTATGGTTGAATATTCAAGAGGCATGAATGCAGCAGGTTACTTTATGAATCGCAAGTATGATTTGTTTGCCTTGAATGAGAGTTTATGCCACAGAGTATATGACCAGCAAAATATTTAGGGAGTGTCCCTGTCGTCTAAGTTAAATTTGTTCTTTGCTTGTGTAATATTTAAATTTTCTAATCCGAAATTATTACATTACGTTGACTCAATAAAAAAAATTAGAACATGTCATTAGTTGTTTTAATTTAATAAAATACTCAAGTCATAAGATAGTATGAGAAAATAATGTAGGTGTTGAATTAATTCTTAATTGAATGTTTCAAATTTTGAAAAAAAAAATATGCACCCGAATATAACGGTATACCTTTGTTCGATAAATATTTTTGAACATGTAATAATTTCAAAGACTAGGAAGGTAATATTTGATAATAAAACTAAATAAATGAGCATGTAACAATGATCACAGTTTTCTCTCTAGATTGAGAATAATTTCTTCTCTTTCAATGAGCTTGAAGCTCTACGTTTCTCCATTAATGGCTTTTAAGCCAACACTATGTATCGTGTAAAAATCCTCCGTTGGCAAGGTACCGCCAAAAAAAGGCACGTAGTTTTCTTATGATTGGGTTTCCACGTCAAAATTCTTATGTTTATATTTTGTTATATTTTGTTAGACTAGTTTATCGTTCTCGCCCGGCTAAGAACGGTATGCCAGTGGGGGAAGAGTACATTTGCTAACCTGCATTGTAAGAGATACTCCCTCTGTCCCATTTTAAATTGCCTGTTTGCCTTTTTTCTCCGTCCCAAAATAAATTGCCTGTTAGTTGTTTTCGTAAACTATTAAAAATAAAATACCTAAATTACCCTTAAAATAAGTCATTCTTTTTCACCTTATCTTCTCATTCATCATTACCCCTCTTAAAAAGTAATGTCAATTTTGAAAAATTAACTCTATTTTTTATTTTCCTTAAATATGCCCAAAAGTCAAAACGAGCGATTTAAATTGAGACGGAGGGAGTATATCATAACACGAGTGGAAACATAACAAATGTCCTCCATTTACTTGGAGACATTTTTAAGGTTATATCCAATATTCGACATATTTTTCTCAAAATAATTGGAAAAAAAGATCAGATACAATAGGGTCCATTTGGTATACAGAATAGGCGGAACTAGAATTGAATTGGAGTTGGAATTCTATAAAATTAATTTGGATCAATTCTAAATTCATATATTTTTGTGTGCTATGAAACAGTAAAATTAAAATTCTTGTTTTTTTTCAGAAATTGTCCCACCTTAGTTTTTATGAGAACAAATAATCAAAAACAATGAAGACAAACATTGTCTTGTAGCAACCACCCTACTTTTTTATGAGGGTGCAACACACCTTAGTTTTTATGAGAACAAATAATCAAAACAATGAAGACAAACATTGTCTTGTAGCAACCACCCTACTTTTTTTTTTTTTTGTACAAAAGATGCTTATATAATTGAATGAATTGTGGAAAGAATTGGCATTCTACCAAAGATGGGGAAATGAACATTGCGAAGCAAAAGCATGCAGAATCGTCTACTTTATTATTGTCGAATGAAGAAGTTTTGTTTTACACGCGAACTGTTCCCACAGAATATAAATCTCCATTTCAGCTTGAGCAACAACCGGACTTCTGATATGCCATGAGCCCCACGAGATAGTAACTGCTGGTAATTGTCCTAAACGTACCGTTCTTGACCAGCTGCTGTGTCGTCCCAAATTTGGAGTTTTATGGTTTTCCCATCTTGTTCCACTGAGCGGATTTTAATTAAAGTCTACACCAATAATGGTACTGATGTAACTCTCGAGATATGAATCATCAGCAAACCTCAGAAGAAGACATGATTTTCCAGCACCAGAGTCTCCAATTAGCAGAAGCTTTAAAAGGTAGTCGTATTCCGGATTCATGGCTGCGGCAAGGTTCGAAATCGGAGCTGCGGGATTGAAGATTGGAGCTGCTGAATTGAATTCACCCATTCCAATTCCATAGTTTTCCTTAAGACCCCGTTTGGTACATCAAATTCAAACGATAGGGATTTGGAATTGAGGACTTCGATTCCAATTCTACTGTTTGGTAGCACAAAAATGGTGTGGATTTGGAATTGATAGTGCAAAAGATGAATTGGAATTGGTGAACTCAATTCCATGGAATTGAATCCCATAGAATTTCAATTCCAAGTCAATTCAAATCACATCATTTCCATATACCAAACGGACTCTAAATAATAACTGACACATTCACCCACTAACCCCACTTAGCTATTTTCCCTTTATGGTCTATTTTTTGTAGACCTGACAAAACTAACCCGGACCAGATAACCTGACCCGAATAACCCGGAATCGAATTCCAAATGACCCAAAAATTGAAGAACTAAATTACACCAAACACCCAAAATAATATGAATCAAACCGAAACCGAACCGAATGTAACACCCTCCGTCCCGCGAACACGGTTCACCGCGGTCCAACGAGTCGGAGAGGTCACGCAGACGGTTTTTAAGACCGTCCACAAAGAAAACTCCTTGCGTTGCTTGTAACTGAAAACCCTTGCTATATTTTATTAAATGATGAAGTTTAATTAACTTTAAAGAAATGTTTCGTAGCGGAAGTAATCATGAATAATAAACGTTAAGTCATAAATTAAGAAAATACAACAACAACAGTGAGTTCAAGCCCAAAACGTTTTCATAATTTAATTAGTAATTAATCCGGCCCGCACTGTCGTTCATCTGCCGCCCCGATCACCCAGTCGTCCGGGTCAGGCTCCATGGTTCTATTGCCTACTTGCGTATATCAAGGGGAAAACAACGCTATAAACATTGATATAAACATAATCGTACCTATACTAAAGTACGAGGTACCATGTACAAGTTTAGCGAATGAGAGTTTACAATTAACAATGATGTAATGCCAAATAAACATGATGCATGAGTTAGACTGCGCAGGGACCCCCTGCCCTTCGGTGATCATCCCCACGCGGTAGATGAGTCGATGAACGCCTTAGTCATCCCGATGGAGACTAGAATGTGGGTGATATCTAAGCCTAGCTACCATGTACGTACACAAGCCCTTCGCGATGAAAACTCATTGGATCCCGCAGGTTCCTGGACGGGCCTGCAGAAGAGGCGCACTGGGCCCGACCTCTTGTCGCGGTATGCAAAGTATGCCATGATCCTAAACATGCGTCTAGAATATACATGATGATATGGATGCATTGATTACAGAATGAAGTTAAGTTCAACGCATACATAGACGTTTGATTCCGTATGAAAACACTTTGTTTAACATGGTGACTTTGGGTTCAGAACTGGCTGATAATCGATTATCCATTTCGAATAAACACTTTGCCAAAAGAGCTTAGTTCACCTAGCGGGGAAGATCTAAGGGGTTAAAAAAAGGATGCAACGAGGACGTTGCATTCCTAAGTGGGGTGAATGTAATACCCCGTATTAAGATGGGAATGGGAAGAGCTGAAAAGGATTGATACTACTACTCATACCAACAAGCTGCATCTTCTTTTCGCCTAGAAACTCCAAAGTTAAGCGTGCTTGACCTGGAGAAATTTTAGGATGGGTGACCCCTTGGAAAGTTCCTTGGGCGCACACGAGTGAGGACAAAGTGCGCGGGAAAGACTTGTGTTGGTTTGTGGGGCCAGTCTACAATCCTATGAGCAAACACTTACGGCTAGGGTGGGGGCCGGGGTGTTACACCGAATGTATCCAGACCCGATTAAACTCAGAACCGATTAGACCCAAAACTGAATAACCCGTAACCAATCAAACCCAAAAACTGATTAGAGCCAATATTGATCAAGTTCAAAACAAATTAAATTCAACTCAGACAAACCTAATAGCTCATTGGTTGATGTCTTTTTAAGAAAAATATTTGAATTATAGGTACAACTGATTTAGTGTACAAATATTTTATTCTATATTTTACACTTCACCTAATAAGGTTGTTATCTATTTTTATAGAGAGCTTATATATTATATAGTCACATCGCAACACACATTAATGGATATACTGACTCATTATTGATGACACTTGTATATATACTCCCTTTATACATAAGGAGGAGGGGCTACACACAAGGCTAATATTATGAATTCTAATATCAAGAGATCTCATCTGAAATTGGTATAATCCCGAACCGATATAAACCCGAACTAGTATAAACCCGAACCGGTATAAACCCAAACCGATATAAACCCAAACCGAAATCGACCCGAAACTGGGAAAAATCCAACTGAGTTTAACCCAAAATCAAACTTACTCGAACTGAACCGACCCGAACAAATTATAACATATATCTGAAAGAGACCCAAACCGAAAAGATCTTAATCGGAATCGAACCGATTGACCCAATTGTCAGGTCTAATTTTTTGACACAACAATTGATTTATATTTGGAGTAGTACTTATTTCAATTTTTTTCAATATTATCTAGTACTTTCGTCTCAGTATATTTATAAGGTTTGACTTTTCAAGTCAAATTGGATAAGCTTTGAGCTTCAATGACTCTTAATTTGTTTGAAATTATAACATATATCTGAAAGAGACTCAAACCGAAAAGATCTGAATCGGAACCGAACCGATTGACCCAATTGTCAGGTCTAATTTTTTGACACAACAATTGATTTATATTTGGAGTAGTACTTATTTCAATTTTTTCAATATTATCTAGTACTTCCGTCTCAGTATATTTATAAGGTTTGACTTTTCAAGTCAAATTGGATAAGCTTTGAGCTTCAATTACTCTTAATTTGTTTGACATATTAATATATTGAAGTATAATTTTGAAAGTTCTCAATAAGATAAATCTAATAAAATTATTTTTATGTTAAAATAGATTATGAATTTTATTTAATTAAAGCTCAAAATCTACTCAGTTTAATTCGAAAAAGTCAAACTGACCAAATAGCTAGAACGGAGGGAGTAGTTTCTACTCCGTATTTCTGTTTTTTTCAATATCTTCAAACTTGGAAAATTGCATGGGCCCTAAACGTAATTTTGAGAACATACAGTACCGAGAGAGATTAGAAATACCTAGCGAGGACCGATTTGCAATTTTAAATTTCATTCTCATTCACGCGCATGCGGTAGTTATTTTATGGGAATAAAATATAAAATAAAATAAAAGCAGCAGAAAATAGAAAAATCAGAAGAGGGAGAAGAGAGAAATGAGAGAGATCTCTATCGAGGAGGAGAGATGGATGCGATTTCTTCTTCTTCTCTGTTCGATTTCATCGCAGTTCGTTCCAGGTTCGAATGCTGGATCTCTATAATCTCGTTTTTCCTAAAAGTAATTTTGTTTTTCGCAGCAATTATTCGGAATCGAGAATGTGTTTGCTTGTTTAGTTAGGGTATTTTGATTTAAATGCAGGATTAGGATTATTAAATTGTGGTTTGGTGTGAATTTAAGTTGAAAATTTGTAAACCTAATGCAATATGGATGTTAATCACTTAATCCGGTCTTCCAATTTCTAGTTGGTGGAAAAGGGAAGAAGTAGGGGATTATATAAAATGGTGACCCATATGGAGTAGCTTGCGTTTCAAATCTTTTGAGGGTGTTAAATTAGTTAGGGACCTTTCTAAGTGACGGGGATTGCGATGGACAATAGTTGATAACATGACTTGGTAAGCAAGATATTTGCAAGCTGAACGGAGTTGGATTTTTGAACTTTGAACCTTTGGCATACATTTATAATATATGATATGTTTAATGCGTAGTAAAATTCGGGGTACTAAGAAATTGAAGCCCTAGGCCCACCGCCCATAGGCCTAGAGAGTAGAGACACCTCTACGGCCATGACATGTGATTAAAACTTAATTTACACCTCCCAACTGGAAGGTTTTGGGGCCTTGGAGATGGGTTCATCCTTCTTTCTTTTAGAAAAAAGGTTTGTGAATTTCGGTTGTGTGTTCGAGTTCGAGTACCCACGTCAGCAAGGGTAGGGATTCCTCTGGGACTTGTCTGCTGCAAGAGATTCCATCTGAAGTGTTTGATGGTTGCAGAGCCTCTAATCCCTAACCAGGATGAGTCTCCAAGTGGGAACGATATCGGTTGCACAAGCATAAAAAAACAGGAAAGGTGAGGCTGATAGTTCTTTGACCAAGTTTTTATGGGGAGGGTGTGATGAAACAAAAATTTAATGTACAATCTTGTTGACTTTTGTAACGTAGATTATGTATGAATTTATCGAAAGCAACACTTAAAGACTTCTAATCATTACTGCATCGCAATGTTATAAACATACAAACTGATGCAGTAACCATTTTTTAGAAGTCTGAATTGAAGGCCCCTTGACAGTGGAAGACTCTTTAAAAGTTTGAATTGAATGTGAGTGTACATTTGGAACACCGCCTAACATCAATGTTTCATATGCTCTTTTTATCTGCTTTCACTCTTTCAGGAGTTTCAGACAATTCATCAGGCCCCGGAAATGAGAAGAAGGCTGATGGTGGCAGCTCTTCGAGCAAGAGCGCTAGCTATAAGGCACTTGTAATATGCATTGGAGTTGTAGTGGTTTCTGTGCTATCTTTTTTCCTTTTCAAATTTTGGCAAAGAAAAAGGCGCGAAGAGCAATATGCTCGTCTGTTAAAGCTGTTCGAAGAGGACGATGAGCTTGAAATGGAGCTTGGCCTCCGCGACTAATTCCATTTCCACGTGTTTCGTTTCAATGAATCAAGGTGACAATCGCCCTTTGCTTTTGTAGTTAAGATAGTAAGATATGTGCCACACGTGTACTTAAGCCCTTATAAGTTACTTACAACTGAGGTGCATTTCTTAGCGTTGCATGCTTAACATTTGTGTAAAAATCTAAATTTCTTGATTGGCAACTAAGTGAAGCCCTACCATCTAATGCATGCCATAGAATTACTCCCCATCCTCATCATTACAACCTTAATCTTAATTACTTGGGAATTGGGATGGGTGGCATGGAATTAGTCAATAAATTATCTAAAATTTGCTAATACTTGAAATTAGTGCAAAAATGGAACAAAAAGCAGTGAAAAATCTTTTACCTGGATGCCCTTGTGTAGCGACCTTTGTTATGGAAATCCATGCTTAGGCTCTAGGCCCCACTTGTCTGCCGTGATATTATCTTGCTCCAGACCTGATTAAGCGTGTCTTCTGTCACTAGGCCCACCATACTTACCCCCTAGAGGCCGCATGGCTTCTTTTAGGAACACTTTCTGCAACCTTCTTATGAAGGACTAATGTTAGAAACTGACTTTGAATTATCAAAGAAATAAAATCAGTTTATTAGACATTAGACAATGAGTTGAATTAGTTGACCGGTTGACTTAAATATTTTAGTTAAGCTTGGTTTGTGTGCATAAACAGTCTATGGTCCTTAAAAATTCAAAGATGCCTGGTGTTCTACTAGATATAGTGTTAGAGTCATGTTCATCACATGATTTATATTATACTCCGTATATGAACATGCCAATTATGGAAAATGGTCAGGATGCCATTGAAATGCTGGACTCGTACCATCATATTATTTATCCGATTTCACTCTCCCATACTTTTTTTACCCCGTTTTTCATTTATTATATGCAGATGAAAGTTTCAGGACATATTGGGAAATGTGTGCTTAGCTATGTAAAAGTCCATAGGCGTTTAGGCCCTTGGAGGCATTTTAGTTTCCCTACTACAGCATATGTGGTAGATGTCATATGAAAGGGTTGGTCGCTTGGTCGATGGACGCTGCTTATTACTAGTGGTAAAAGGATTTTTCATTCATTTCAAAGTCTTCACTATCTTATTTCGTCGTTCATTTCTCTGTTACCTCTATCTGTATTTGTTATTGTGAAATATGTTTCCGAAGCTTATCAGATTACCTTAGAAAATGTCTGCAATTTCTGCGTTTGTGCAATGCAGTACTTTCTTAACCTTCTAGTTTCAAGTGCATATTTGTAACTATGATAACGAGTATGTTCTTTTCGGACTTATTTTCATTTCAGTTCATTTCATGTCGATTAATTACATTATAGCTAAGTTCATTTGAGTGTAGTACTTTTCAGGTAACAACATTACAAATAACTTTTAGGTTAATTCATTTATGTTCCATTCAATAAATTTCAGCAGTAAAGAACACATACAGTTTGTTGCACAGTAAACTAGTTGATGTTAAATTCTAATAGCTGGGTTATTCACTGGTTAAATGAAGTAGCCTTGTGTGGTGGGAATGATGAAAGAAATATGTGGCTCATAACATTTCTCCCTCTATATAATTTTTAAATAGTTTAGATATGCAGTAAATTGTACGGAGTAGTATTGAACAATTTCTTTTAGGGGTAGTTTTGGTATAAAAAATGTATAACATAATAAGATGAAGCAACATGCCAAACGGAACCTCCATTTGTTTGTGCTGCTTATGTTAGGATTCAACTCATCAAGCAAATCACAAATCTAGCACATTTAGATTTTGCACGTTTAGACTTTCGTTGATCATTTAATAAAACAATAGTCATGTCACTTAGACGGTGTGTAGTGGATCGGCAAATCCCCCATTCCCGCCTATTTAACGCTGCAAAAGACCAAAAGTCTGAAACCTTGGGCGTTAATCGTTTAAGAGCATTGGAAATGGCAAGTCAAAAAATGGAATGCCACACGGTGACGTTGAACATTTTTACCAATCAAAAGGAGTTCAGTCAGCATGTGCCGAGTGGGAGGAGTAGCATGTCATGCAGTGACAAGTAATTGTTTTTGTCATTTTTTACATTTTTGTGACATTTTTTAATTATAAATTTTTTGTTTTATTTATCTTTTTTTCATAAAAATATATGCACCCCTTTTTTAAAAAAATCTTTTTTTTCTACAAATAAAAAATAAGAAAAAAAAAAGAGAAGAATCCCTCGCACGAGACATGCCTTGCGTGGAGGATGTACAAGCCAAACATGGCAAAATAGAGAAAGGGCTGATGTGGCATGGCGTGGCCGGCATTTGCCTCCCCATTGCCAATGCTCTAAGCATGCTTCCTAGCACGAGTTGCATCATTAAATTAAAATACTACTAAAACTAATAATAATAGTAATAATATTAATAATCCACCACTACCATAAAACCACTAACTTATTTTGCTATGAAGTAGGGAGATTGTTTTGTATTTTTCATCATCTAAATTTAGAGTAAGTTTTCGAAATGATCTTTTCTAATTACGTGTTTCCAAAATGATTCTTTCCAAGAAATATTTACCTAAATATGATTAAAACGTAATGACTTTCTCAATATAGAACAATATATTCTTATTTTCCAAAGTAGGATCATTGGTCATTATGCATTAGTCATTATTTAAGTAAATGTTCACTATCATTCGACATTATTAAGTCCTATTTAGGGAACAAAAAGTTTAAGTCTTAAATTGAGAAATGACTTACGGAGTATATTTTAGTTCTATTTAGTGCAAATTTTTCTCTTTTTCCAATTAAGGGGTACATCTAATTTGAATTATACATTATTACGATAAGCCAAATGATAGTCTAGATTCTACATGGAGTTATATGGATTTTGATTCATTTTAAGGAGTATTAATTTTATCAAGATTTGTTTAGATTTTTAAAGTACTTTGGTTATTCCAACATTAGTAATTGATTATAAATCCACTGTAATCGATAGAAATTATAAAATGTAGAAAAATAATGACTTCAAACAAAATAGTTTTAAAAATATGGATAAAAAAGAACCACTTAGTAAAATATCAAATGAATTTGTTTTTCAAAAAGAAAAAAAGTTACGTACAATATATCTCATAAAAAAATCCAAACAATAAAAAGGGTCACATTTTCTTTACTGATGAACTTTACTAGAATTGTCAATTGAAATTATTTTTAGAAGAGTACATAAAAAGAGTTATAGTTACATTTATTTTCACATAAAAATTTCAAAAAAAAAATAATCAAGTAGAAGTAATAGACATTGCTTTGTTGGAACAAAGGGTCGCTTGATATTCTTTTGTTTTCTCAATGAAAATAATGACAAATTCATAGAACTCATGTCAAAAAAGAAAAAGTGAGTTGTTAAGACTCTAAAGAGTCCACAAGAGAAGATTATTTATATATCATAAAGAGTGCAAACGCGTGTGTAGATACATGGGCTCGAAAAGTCTAACGTCTATACTACTCAATTAGGTTAACTGATTGAGTCAGTCTACACTAAAAACTACGGAGTACTTCATAGCGCTAGATTAAGAACTTTCTGACCCCAAACTCCTAGCCACCTGAAAGTATGAACGAAGCCTAGTATGGATCACATGTTCTACCAAATTGTTTTGCTTGATCGACTACGAGCCTCTAGGCTGAGCGCTAAGTCAAGGTCGACCACCCAAGCCACAAAATTGGCCCACAATCTTGGGCTTCAAATCATCTTCATTGGGTCTAATGTCCATACGTGTAGGGTATCCATTATATTTGTGGATTATTATCATTGGTTTACCTCTCAACTTTTGCTAAAGTTGTCATTATGTTTGATGTCGTTTGATCTGATTTGCTCTGAATGTAGTTATATTTAAAGTTATTTCTGATGTGATCTGATCTTATTCCAATAAAATAAGTACTCCGTAATAAGTAAAAAAAGTTGAGGAAAACATGACCTACATATAGGTACTAAAGATGTTGATTGCCTCGTGGAGTGTGGAGAGATGTGCTTAGGGATGATGGATGCTACAAATGTTTAATAAATGTGTAATACAACTTACTAGGAGGGGAGGATAACATTAGAAAGATAAAAGAGTTTTTGTGTCTTATCCCATTAGGTTGTTCAATTAGGGATTTATGATTACTTACCATGTTATCTAGTTTAAAAAATACAACATATGTTATTATGGTGTTATTTTTATTGTAGATTAATTATTTCATGATTAATGGTACTAGAATAAATTTTTGAAACATTTGCATTAAATAAGACTAACACATATGTCATTTCTTGATGTAGGACTTAAACTTTTTTATTCCCTAAATACGACTGAATTATGTCTAGTAGGAAGAATATTGTTCAGTGATTATGGACATTTACTTGAATAATGACTAATGAATAATGATCAATGATCATATATTGAGAAATAAGAACATATAGTCCTATATTGAGAGAGACGTTATATTTTAATAAATTCCCTTAATTTTATGTTGTACGGAGTCATTTATTATGGTAGGTCTTGTATGTTAATACAAAAAATTATCAAAAAGATTGTCAAATTATGTGAATGCTAAAAATTCTAGATTCAATACAAAGACTAAGGGGCTGTTTGGCAACTTCTGAATGGGTAAGTGTTGAACCAGTAAGAGGTCTGAATCATTAAGTGCTGAACCAGTAAGAGGTCTGAACCATTAAGAGCTAGTATATTGCTTAACTATTCAGAGGCAAATGTCTGATCAAATCAGATAACAGCTCTTAACCATTCAGACTCTGTATAATACTTAACCATTCAGAGGCAAATCTCTTAACCATTCAGACATCTGAACCATTAAGAGGCTGAAACAAACCGTCTGAATCATTAAGTGCTGAATCATTCAGACATCTGAACAATTAAGAGGTTGAAACAAACAGCCTCTAACCCTTGATTGAATGCAACATTTATGCAATATGAAGTAAGAAGTTTCTTTCTTCTTGCTTTTGGAATTGAAAGAAGTCTTTCAAAAAAAGTATTGAAGTATGAAAAATCTTTGGGAGTGAAGGGTTTGGTATTTGCAGGCAGATTGCAATTGTTCAAACGAGGAAAAGCTCTACGGAAGCTGTGATTATACACAACGTATGTATGTGGGAGTACTTCATAGTTCATACATATATATATAAAAATCCCCTCTTTCGTCGTCACTCTCTATTTCGCGCACCCCTTTTGCTCATCTAAAGCTTCCGATCTTTTCTCTCTCGTCCATCGCCGCTCCGCTTTCGAAATTAGGGCTCGGAAGTCATGCGATCGCCGCTAACAAGATGCGATTTTCTTTGAGCTAAGCGTTAATTTTGTTTTCTTGTTTTCAGCGGATTGCGTGTTTTTTTTGTGTGCGGCTCGCCTAGGGTTTCTGGCCCGTAGATATTGCGCATGAAGGGTCCGTTAGATCGGACGAAGATTGTGCTGCGGCACTTGCCGCCGGGGCTTCCCCAGTCCGCGCTGTTTGAGCAAATTGATTCTCGCTTCTCGGGTCGCTACAACTGGTTCTCCTTCCGTCCTGGCAAGAGCAGGTTAGAACGGCGATTTATGCCGCCTCATGTAATGTTTTTTTTTAATTTTTTTTATTGGGGATTTGATGCTGAGTAAATATTGATTCATTTGGTGGCCTCTGTGCTGGTCACAATTGATATTTTGATTTTTTGTACTTCTCCAAGTCATCATCCCTATAAGCTTATGTTTCCATTGTTGCACTTGGACTGTTGGACATCTCTCTAAGTTTTGGCGTAAAAAGGAAACATATGATGTTTGTGGGTTTCTACCATTGCAGCTTGGTTTGCAATTATAATCTTTCTGTCTATTAATGCACCTCTGTCCAAGTTCATTTGTCTGTAATTTATGCTATCATCATATTTTCAATTTTCACAGGTAATTGTGTTGTCTTTAAAAAATGGGTTTTACTCATCCATGATTTTATAACCCCTAGTTGGAAAGAAATTAATGGAGTTGGGTTGTTTTTAGTTAAAGGTGCCAGGGACTTGAGTGAGATGCATTTATATAATTCAACTTAATAGGAAGCATCCTTATGCATACCAAGAAACCGTTCTTCAAGACTTGATATTTGTTTCACCCGTATTGATTCATGCCAAGGTTTTTTTTAGTGCTGACCATTTTTTAGTTTTATAAGTTAAATGTTTTTTAATAGATTTTGATTTGGGTATGAAGTTTACATATATTGATCACATGAATGATTTTACTATATTTTTTGAGTGGATTTTTCTAGATTTTTGGATTCTGTTGTGATTGTGTCATTGTGTATAATTTTGCTTTGGTGACAATATATTACCCTTCACTGATGAGTGTATCTTAATATTGTCCTGTTATATGTTCTTTTTATTCAGAGTGGAAAAATAAAAATGGGAATAGCAGAACACTTATTGGGTGTTTGATCTAT